CCGAACCCTAATCTGCAGTTCATGATGTCATTGTTAACACACGTTCACTGACCCTGTTGTTGACCCAACTTTTGACACTGTGGACTGACCCGTGAACTTCCTGAATAATGAAGCACTGAAGCAGTGTACAAATGCTTTGCATGGTTGATTGTAACTTCCGGTTTCCCCGCCTTAACCCTCCACGTCAGCTTATTTGGCGCTGGTGACTGAGCTTGCTAGGTACTGAGCTCGATTCACTGATCTCCATTCAAGAATTGGCTTTCCGAATCCAAGCAATGCATCACGACTAATGTTCATCAAATTCAATACTGATCAAGTGGGTATTTGATGGAGGCCATGGCGTGAAAAGATTTCGTCTTCTCAGCTTGAGGTGGCTTGAGGTAGCTCGGGATGGAGGTCACGACTTCCCTGCACGGCAACGGGGTGATTGGCATCCTCCGTGAAGCCAAGTACAAATGGGAGCGGCGCTGTCTGCTCACTCCCAGTCATGCTGCTCGCTTGCTACGAGCTGGGAAAGGGCAAAATGGTGGTGTGCGCAGGATCATTGTGCAGCCATCTGAGAAGCGGATCTACCGGGACAACCAGTAAGCCTGGCACGCCTCCATTACGTTGTTGCACCCTGATACAACTTTACAAGTTTCTGATGGTGTGCAACTGTCATTGGCTCAGAGTATTATCACTTGACACAAACAATGACACAGTCAGGGCTTTGAAACAGACGATACTTGAGAAGAATGTTCTCGTAAGGTCTTCAAGGGACTTGCGAGTTCAATTTATCTTTTTGCATAGCTTAGAGTACTTTTTCCGACAAGAACTCAACTGATTTTCGTTTTGCAGGTATGAGGAAGTTGGGTGCGAAATCTCAGAAAATCTGGAAGAATGCGGAACAATTTTTGGTGTGAAGCAGCCTCAGGTGAGCTTCTGTTCCTCCCAACAGATTAGAACATCAGTAAGAGCTAATGGGTTTTCAATCGATGTTCAAACCTGGTATGCCTCATGAACATCACTGGAGCATGTGCCTGCATCAGCATCTTCGATATCTGCTCCTGGACACCTTTGATGTATGTATGTGTACTTTAGAACCTTTGCAGGCATCCCCCATTGCCTTGGACAGGGCCTGCGCCACCTAAAAGTTGGCCCTAGCTGCGATGGCCTCCATGGTCAGCACTCTGCATCTTCTGTGCAGCTCGGCACCCTGCTGCCGCGCCGCTCGTATGCCTTCTTCAGCCACACGCACAAGGCGCAGCCAGAGAACATGGGGCTGCTGGACGAGGTGCTTGACAAGCACTTGCGCCTCTTTGACTACGAGCTCATTGTGAACGACCAGGGCAGCAGGCTGGTTGCCTTTGGAGAGTTTGCGGGCCGTGCTGGCATGGTGGACTTCTTGCGGGGGCTGGGTGAGCGCTACCTGGCGCTGGGCTACAGCACGCCCTTCCTCAGCCTGGGCAGCAGCTACATGTACCCATCCCTGGCGGCCGCCAAGGCTGCAGTGCTCGCTGTGGGGGAGGTAAGAGGCTGGCGACCAGTCCAGGCAGTAACGTGCTTAAACCCTCTTTTTTCAAACCTCCAGGGACGCCGTACTCATGTATCGGCACAAAGTCTATTAGGGTCCTTGTTTCTGAGACCCTCTCTGATTCATAAACCGACAGTGTATGATTAAGGTCATGGCTCTTATAGTGGTCAAAACAAGGATGATCTTAGCCCTTCACTAAGTAGGGGGTTGCATCATGTTTTCCCGTTTGTGATGATTGCACCTGATACTAGGCAGCATCAAAGTAGATTTCAAAATCTATTCTTCTGCGTTTGGGATACCTCTTACAATTGCCTGGTGCTAGCAATAACTTCTCATGCACTCCGCGTGCCACAGGAGATTGCCAGCGTGGGCCTCCCAGCCGCCATCTGCCCCATCACCTTTGTGTTCACGGGTACAGGCAATGGTGAGCGGAGTTTACTGCTGAGCTTGTTGTTGTCCCATGAGGTCGAGCTGCCTCAAGGTGAATCAAAGCAACGACTTCGAGTACCATTCTGCCTTTCTACGATCTGTACCAGGGTTGTATGATCGCCGTCTCTATTGTGCTCTCCTGTCTGTTCCCTCCTTGACGCCCGCCTTGACCTCGTGCTCCGCAGTGTCGCGGGGTGCACAGGAGGTGTTCCGCCTGCTCCCCCACCAGTATGTGGAGCCAGACCAGCTGCCCACCCTGGTCAGCACAGCCAGCGGCCCACGCTTGCATCACCAGGTGTATGCTGCAGTGGCGCAACCGCAGCACATGGTGGCGCCCAACGACCCCGCCGCGACCTTTGTCAAGGTATCCTCCTGTCGCAATATTCCCGGTAACAATTTGGTTCTCAATCTTTCTGTCACGACTTCTGAAAGGAGCTCAGAATGGATGAAGGTTCGGATAACTTTATACCTGTTCGGAGGACAAGTCAAGTAACTCTGACAAGAGCATCTTCGTTGCTGGCTTGGTTTACAGGAGGTTGTATGCGCTGGTGCAGGAGAAATTCGTCGACCTTGAAAACGCACAAGTATCTGGTGTGCATCCCTGACCGTGCGTGCAGGCGGAGTACTACGCTCGGCCTGAGCAGTTTCACCCCGTGTTCCACGAGACGCTGGCCCCGTACGCCACCGCGGTGATCAACTGCATGTACTGGGAGCGCCGCTTCCCTCGCCTGCTCTCCAAGCACCAATTGCGGGACCTGGCACGGCGTCCAGGCGGCATGAAGCTGCTGGGGGTGGCCGACATCACCTGCGACGTGGAGGGGTCCATCGAGTGCCTCAACAGAAGCACCAACATCGAGAAGCCATTCTTCCGGTAAGATCAACAGGCATGCACGTTGCTGCTGTTTTCAGCTCCAAGATTGGCACTTAGCTTCCCATCCAGACCTTATGGAGACGACAGGAAACCTCCGTAGCCACGATGTGCCAGCTCGATAGACAGTTACTTACTCCCACGCTTTGAAAATGGAGGGCCGTCGCCCTGCTGAGCTGGCCTGGGAAATTTTGTTGTTCAAACGGTCCAGTAGGGGAAACAAAGGGGAATCGGCAAAGTATTCGTCCCTTCGTGCGGCTATGAAAGGTCGAAGAAAAGCGACGATGCTTATTTTCGATAGCGCAAGCCCATTCAAGATTTGCGAGCGCTCTCGAATTTTCTCTGCCCGCAAAGTGTTGTCTGTTTGCGAGTCGTGAAAAGGAGAAAGACCCCGTCCTGCAAAAGAGCGGCATCAGTGTGAAGTTAGAGATTTATTGGTCAAGCCGTCGACGTTCCTGGTTACATCCTTTCGACCCACTGAAATGGATGGATTTGGACGGCTCTCCACGGGCAATTAGCTCCAACAACCTTCCGCAAGCTCCCTCGCGGCCGCTCCCTGTGCCGCCTTCGCCTGGGGCCCCGTCTCGGGGCAGGTCTGAGCCGCGGTGCGCTGGTGCACAGGTACGACCCCCTGTGCGGCACCTTCCACGACGACATGGACGGCCCGGGCGTGTTCCTGCTGGGCGTGGACATTTTGCCCACGGAGCTGGCGCGCGAGGCCACCAAGCACTTTGGCGACGCGCTCTTCCCCTTCGTGGCCGCCCTCGCTGCGGCCGACACCCTGGACGCAGCTCCCGAGCCCATGCGGCGCGCGTGCATCGCCAGCGAGGGGCAGCTCACCCCGCTCTTCGAGTACATCACCAGGATGCGCGAGCGCCTGGCGGAGGCCGCCCCCCAGGGCCAGCTGGCAGTGTCGGACGACGACGGCCGCTTCTCCACCGTGGTGAGGCACCTGGCGGGGGAGGCGAGCAGCGGTCTGAACAGCTTCCTATTCGAGCAGGAAGAGTCAGGATCAAGTTCGACTGTCGCTTAGGAATTGATGGAACTATCTGGTTGTCTAGAGTCGGGATCAAAGTAGTTTCAGCTGTAAAATTTGTTTCTTCTCTTTGGACCCTGTGAAGCTCCCCCTTCAGATCTGTGCACTTTGCCCTTGATGTCGAGCTAAGTCCCTGAGTCGTTGTTGGCGTCCAGATCTCGCTGGCGGGCCACCTGTTCGACCAGTTCCTGATCAACGAGGCCCTCGACGTGATTGAGACCGCGGGGGGCCGCTTCTCGGTGGCATCCTGCCAAGTGGGTCAGAGCAGCAGAGCCACGTCATCCGCGGAGCTCCACGTCGCTGCCGACACCGCGGAACAGCTGGCTGAGATTGTAGAGGCGCTGGCTGAGGTGGCGGGCGTCTTCTTCCCGAAGCTGCCCCCTGCCGTCCGCGCCCTCACGCGCAGCGGCACCATCGAGAAGGCGCGGCAGCGGCAGCGCTCCTGGAACGCGCTGCACTCCGCAGAGCGGCGATCACTGTCCCCCGTGCCGCGCATGAAGCCGGGCGGCTTCAGCAACGAGAAAGAAGAGCTAGGAGGCCCGACAGCGGATGCCCCACAGGCCACAGCCAATGGTCATCCGGGCACAGCCGACGGGGCGCCGGTAGAGCACGAGGCTCCACGACGTGCAGGGACCGAGCGTGCGGCCTCTGACGGGGATGCCACCACGGGGCTGCCGCGTGTGCTGCTGCTCGGGGCCGGACGCATGTGTGAGCCGGTGGTGCGGCACCTAACATCGGTGGGAAAGAGCAGAGCGTGCGCCAGAGACTCGAGCGTGGCGATCGGAGATCATGCCAGCGAGAGCCAGACTGGATCAAGAAAGCAGAAGAATGGGGCGGGGCTTGAAGAGAGCGGCCTGGAAGAGTGGCGGGGTGCACAAGTAACGGTCGCGTCATTGCTGCTGGACGAAGCGCAGAGGGCAGCTGCCATCGGCAAGCAGCGGTGCCTTGCAGTGCAACTGGACACGCGGGACATAGCGCGGCTGGCCGGCCTGGTGCGCGACAGCGACGTGGTGATCAGCCTTCTGCCACCGGCGTGCCACGTGGCAGTGGCGCAGGCATGCATCGCGGCAGGCAAGGACTTGGTGACGGCCAGCTACGTCAGCAGCGAGATGCAGGCGCTGGACGACGCGGCCAGGGCGGCGGGCGTGACGTTGCTGTGCGAGATGGGGCTGGACCCGGGCATTGGTAAGGGCCCGCACCGGAAGAGCAGCCCAAGGCACGGGGGAGAGTCAGGGACGGCTCTGGTGCGGCCTCCGTACAGGTTCTGAAGGTTTCCAAGCTCTTTGAGGTCCGCACGCCCCCTTCTTCTCCAAATGCTGGTCGTAATCATGACTGGCTTCTCCTAGACATGTTTAGTGTCTTAGACCAACTTCGCCGTTGCGTGGGTTACTTGCAGACCACATGTCCGCCATGAAGATGATCGACGGCATCCACGCAGCAGGAGGCCGCGTGCGGTCGTTTGTGTCGGCGTGCGGGGGCCTGCCGGCGGCGGCGGCGGCGGACAATCCGCTGGGGTACAAGTTCAGCTGGAACCCGCGGGGGGCCATCATGGCGGGGCGCAACGCCGCCACCTACAAGATGGACGGGCAGGTTGTCAACGTGGCAGGTGGGTCAGCTGATGCCGGCAACTCGTAGGTTGGAGCGTAACCTGGGAAACAGGAAGAGCGCCCCTTCACGAGAACCTTTTGCTCGCAGCCTCCTCTCAGAGCTGGTGTGCACTCTTTGGCCGGCCACGCCACACCGCTCTCCATTCAAACTAATGCAGGATGGTTACTTCTGCCGAGAGAGCGGGGCCAACAAGACTCAGCGATCCTGCGATTGGTGCATTCTGGTTGCCCATGGGGAGGCTCTTTGCCCTTCACTTTCGCATCCTGCGTCGTTACGTCCGCTTCCTTCACAACTTTTCACGACCCTGGTGAGCAGCTAGCCGCCATGGCGACTTGGCCTGCGGACCCGTCTCCTCCTTCCGCTCTCTGTCCTGGCTGCCCCTTTATCCGTGCTCTGCCGTCCTCCCCCGGTGCAGGTCCTGCCCTCTTCTCTGCCGCGCAGCCGTGCTCGCTCCCTGGCCTGCCCGCGTTCGCCCTGGAGCGGCTGCCCAACCGCGACTCGCTGCTGTACGGGCCGCTCTACGGCATCGACGCTGAGGCGGCCACGCTCTTCCGCGCCACCCTGCGCTACCAAGGTGCGCTTATCCGGCCTGTACACCATTCGTCAGCTGCGCCTTTTTGAGTGTCTCGTTTTCAGCACAGTACACCTCGCCCTGGCACCGGGTGTCAGACTGCGCTTCTGAGCCGTCGCCCCCCGTCCCGTCTCTCTCCCTTGGCAGGCTTCAGCTCCTTAATGGACTGCTTCGGCCGGCTCGGCTTCTTCGACCTCTCCCCGGTGTCCTCGCTGGCGCACCCCGCCACCTTCCTGTCCTTCCTGGAGGCCTGCTTCCCCTCCGCGGCTGCACCAGGACAGACCTTTGCTGTGCGCGAGCGGGCCGTGCTAGAAGGGCTGGCCCGCACTCTTGAGGCCCAACTGGGGGGCGGCGCTGCGGAGCTGGTGTCCCGGGCGGTCGACTGTGCCAGGTACGACGTCCGCACGTGTAAGTCCTGAATGGACCGCAATCGTGCTGTCGCCCGAATTTGAGGAGGCCGGGGCGATCGGGCAATGGCTTTGCCGGTTTCTGCCAGCCGTCCTGCCACGGGTAGCTTGGCTTTCCTCCGCTCAGGCGGGTCCTCGCATCAACGCTACTTCAACATGCGCTCGGCTTCGCAGTCGTGCGCCACGCTTGCCCGCCTCACCCGTCTGTCTGCCGCGCAGGTGGCTGGGCCTGACGCGCGAGGCCCCCCTGCCCGCCGCGGTGGCCAGCCCGCTGGACCTGTTGTGTCACTGCATGGAGGCCAGCATGGGCTACCAGCCGGGCGAGCAGGTGCGCCCGCCCCGCCTCTCTCCGGTCGAACCTTGTGATCCACACGGAGACTACGACGGTCTATGAACGACGGTTCGCCTAGCTAAAGCACCGTTAAGCAGAGGTCTCGAACGATGATGCTGCCGCCGCTTTCGCCGGTGTCTCTGCTGGCCCTGCGTCATGTTGTGGTGGCCCTGTGCAGGACATGGTGCTGCTGCACCACGACGTTGTGGAGGAGACGGCCGGGGGGGGCCGCCGGCGGCACAGCGCCACGCTGGTGGCGGTCGGCGAGGCCGAGGGGCGGCACGGCGGGCAGCCTGAGACGGCCATGGCCAAAACCGTGGGCCTGCCTGTCGCCATTGCCGCACAGGTAGGGCCTTTGCACTGGTGAACCTGATTAGCTGGTCGGACCACGGTGGCTACCTGTGGCTGGCTGCTGTAAGGACAAGCCTTGCTGATTGCGCGAACTTGACATTGCATAGAACTGGTCTGTATGTCAAGGGAGATGCGGTTGCTAACCGCGCTTGCATGCCTGCAGCTTCTGTTGAGCCGGCGGGTGCAGAGCCGCGGCGTGTTGCGCCCCGTGACGCCTGACATATACGGCCCAGGTAAGGCCATCCACTTGCACCTGGGCTGCGCATGCCTCGGCAGACTGCCAAAAAGTGAAAGAAACTCCAAGGAACAACCCCCGACCTGGTGCAGATCGTGCAAGATATCTGCAGGGTCATGAAGTAGTATAGTGAGATGTGAATGCAGACCCCGGATGTTGGTGTAAAGCCTTGCCAACGCACGTTGGATCAACACTCAACTTCGTCCTTTTCGGTGTGCAGCTTTGAAGGAGCTTGGTCGACTCGGGGTGAGCTTCAAAGAGAGAGTTACTGACATAATGGAGATTTGATTCGGCAGTAGAGTTACCATATTGAGGCAACGTTGTTCTCGTCTAACATAGAGGTGTGATAACAAACGCGGCGACGAGTTAGGTAGAAGATAAGAAGATAATCTTGTAATTTAGCGTTCATCATTTCAGGCCACTAGACGGTATGTGTACATAATCGAGGTTGAGGATGGTACCATTGAATCATAGTAGAGACCTTTCGTGTATGTGTATCATTGTTTCAAGTGAGCAGATTAGGAAAGTGCTCAAGGTGAAACGAAAGCGCTGTAGCATATGTATACTACGTGCTTTTGGGCTGCATGGCCCCTTCAATTGTTTCATCTAAACCTAGCGAGCCAAGATCCGTGCTTAAGACAAAACGGCGGCATTGCGGTGCAAGTCCTTGAACATTATGGTCGCCGCAATGTTCATTGCACAAGATCGTTGTTTTGGATCTTTTTCGACCCTAGCCTGTGATCTTCCGGCACTGCCCGATACTTGATTGTCATGCAGGCGAATCTTCCACTAAGCCTGCCGGGATGCCCTGTAAAGGCGATCCTAGTTGCGCGTAGGTACGCCCTAGACTTGCAGGTGAGCAACAGCTGGCGGCCGCCATGCATGGTGCCCTATAGCATTTGCAGCACATGCGCTTCTTCCTAGCTTTGCATACTAAAAACTTGGTTTCTTATAGTATGCAGTTAATGAGCCCAACCCAGCTAGTCAGAGTCCGGGAATGTCGACGTACTGCATACTCAATATGGCCTAACAGGCTACTCTGCTTCTTATATGGCCATATTGCACATGAATCATCATGCACGCGAGCTGATATCATGTGAGGAATATGTTTTCGGCTGACGATTCACTCTGTGCAGGAGGTACTGTATATCGGAACGTGCCTGGCCGGCGTAAATAAGTTAGGCCAGATGTATGCGGTTAGGTGCACTCGCTAGCGAGTTGCCCTGCATTCGCACCGGTTAGTACAGCACGCACGTGTGGCAGTTCTGCTTCATGTCTCCGGGCATGTCAGTCAGGATAGGCCTCTGTGTACTATGGTTTCGGTAATCATACATTTCTGGATTGCGTTATGTGCATCACATAGCATATCGATCATGATTCGTTTCGGCGCCGGTGTTGATGTTTGGTGCGCACCAAACATCAGCAAGGCGAAGCTTGCATGATGTGAGAATGTTTAGTGGGTGCTCTCAAACCTGAGAGCATACACGCATGCGGATTGGAGGCCTGGCATGCCCGGGGTCTGATCTAAAGTTCCTCATCTTGAATTTGCGTTGGCATACTTGCTAGCCTGATCGCAGGGTTTATAAAAGCAAGCGACCATCGCTAGCCAGAATCAGTGCATGGGACAGTACGTCTTTATGCAATCCAGAATGTGCCGCTCATGAATCACTAAGCGCATATTGATCTGTTCAGAACCGCCAGATTTCTGGCATTGAACTGGTTGAAAATATGTTGCATGATGCAATTCCAGGCCTGTGGTGCGAACACCATGTCCGTCATTCAATTTCGAGAGAGCATTGCGGTAGGTTGGTCGGCCAGGACTCAACATGCTTGCTTGATCAAAAGTGTGCGGGGCGGATGACCTGTCCCCTCCGCAATGGCTATCAATGTTTATGAACAGTCAAGGACTAAACGAATCTTTCTTTACAAGTAACCCTGCTTCCTGGCCTGGACACCTATTTGTCCAAGAGTCAAGACGAGGAAGAGGCCAAGGTGCCACGTGATCATCCACAACCTGCATCAACCCACGCCCGTAATCAGAAGACTTCTTCCCCAACATGCTCAAAATTGCGGTCCCACTTTGCGGATGTGAAGTCCAATCTGTTAACATCCAAACATGAGCATCAGATGGCTCAGAAGCACTGCAACGTATGCTCGGACGCCACCCAGTCCTAAACAAGCTGTTGCACTCACCAGAAAGGAGAGTCGGCCGCGGGCCCGGTGGGGAAGTGGGCAAGCTCCGGTCCAATGGACTTGAAGAAGAGGCCGGAGAGGCTGTCCCCGTTGATGCAGGGGATGCTCGAGGGCAGGATCCAGCCAATGAGAGAGATGCCGGGAACAATGGGCTCCCCAAACTTGCGCTCAAAGTTGTCGTCAAAGCTGCGCCGGCAATGGGTGACAAGTCAGGCAAGCGCAATTTGGATGAAGCCCGGTATAAACTGCATCATGCTGACATCTGCAATGCACTCTACACCGTAGACAACGAGTTCTATGCAATTGTGCCTACAAGAAGTGCTCACCAGACTGTGCGGGCGTTTGACCTGGCCACCTTGTTGGCGACGCGCCTGCCGGTGAAGCTGCTAGCCAAGGCTGCACAAAGGGCAGGAGGCTTATTCAGGTTGTGTCCGCAGGGTTGGTTATCAGGCGGCTTCGTCACACCACGCGATTGTTTTTGGGTCAATAAGGTGTGCCTATCAGGGCCTTCATCAGATTCAACCCCTACCAGACATCTTTTATCCCCACCCAGGGCCTCCTAATAAGCCACCAGTCTCCACCGGTGAAGCAGATAGAGACCTGCCCCTTGATCAACCAGCCTCCAATTAGAAAACAGGCAGCACCAATGGGAGAGCCAACTAGCAGTAGGGCCTACGTGCCCCGGAATGCACAGGGAACTCTTGCAGTAGTCCTCTGATCTTCAGCTTGGAAGTTGGCCAACATTACAAAAGATGTTGAAGATAGATAAAAGGGCATCATTCCAATCCCAAGCTACGCCTAATGATCATATGGGGGTTCTAAACTGATTCTTGTAACAATGCCAGGCAATGCTACAGCAGTACACTAGGTACCAGAAACTCGGCAGATGCATATGGTGTTTATCCCACATTCCGAAAACAAGCCCTCTGTGCAAGTTCACAGTAGGGCAGTGTCTTGGCTCCTGATTTTGACATACTGCAATGCAATTCGTAGGCCTATGGGTCCCCTTGTGCTGTCATTTTTAACAGGTTGGGTTCAATAAGTTGGTATACCCATCTTGACCCAAGGCCAGAGCTCAAAGCATGAAACTGTCCATTCTAACATTTATAACGTCCATCATTGTAGGGCAATCTCGGAGGATGTCCGTGGCAAGGTAAGCTCACTATGGTAGATTGAAGTACGAGTGCTGATGCATCTGGCTGCAGACTTTGCTCCTCAATGAGAGTTTACTGAAAGCATCCAGAGATATATAGCTATGTCTTCCGAAAGAGTACATTCCCAAGCCCAAGGAATCATGGCGTTGGATGCTAAGTCCATTTTTCTTTCTGCATTCATACAAAGTCCGCGCTCCGGATGATCAACCATTTGCACCAATCTTACCTGGCCTGGAAGGAGACGCAACCTTGCGAGCCAATGAGGCTCCAGCCAGTCCAGTGATGGGGGCCACAATGCCCAGGGAGCAAGCGGTGGCCATGGCGGCGATGCTACAGTCCCTCCCACACGCTAGCTAGCCTGCACGTCTAGAATCTCTTCCACCCTGCGGCCTCAAATCGCTGCGGCTTCCAAGAAACTCTTCCTGTAGGTAGAGCAGTGTAGGCTGAATGAGCTGTTGCAGATCTGCTCACGACTGGCACGAGGGCTGTGTCAAATTTCAATGCATGCCCCCGGCTTTGAAAGATCCACACGACCACTCCCTTCTCGCCTATTGGCGGAGCGGGGATAAGCAGATCCTCCTCTTACGGTTTTTGCCTGTCATGCAGGTTTCTTGTATACGCGGATCGAAATTTTTGAAGAGGATTGGACTTACGCCACGTGTCAAATTTCAATCTCTGCAAATAAAGAACGCGCAGAGCGGCGACCGCCCGCCCGCGGCCTCAGCGCCGCCCGCATCACGCTGTCGCCCCATTGCGCACAGAAGCAAGGCCATGCCACCATCGACTCGACTGCCAGAGCAACATTTGATGCGAACCCGGAAGACGTATTTGGCTCCGGCATGTTATGCTCAGCTGCATGACGCTGCAATAGCCTCATGAGTAACAACCTTTTTGAGGACACAACGGTAAGTAAACCCGGTAGGACCTATAATAAAATGCATTCATCAAGGTGCACATGATCATGACCGGCCGGGCCTACCCGGACTATACAGGAGGTACGTTGGATTTGAGATGCAATTATTCTGCATGATGCCCTTGTACGCACCCTGCAAGCAATTTGTCAGTTGCAACTCACTGATTGCATATACAACCTTTGCTTTAGTACGTGGACGGACGTCAATCGATACAATTTCAAAACCGTCCGATCTTGAATCCCTCTTTTCTTACTTTCCTACACAGTTTTCAAGCGTTCCTGTGCAGCATTAGTAAACCTTCTGCTGGATACGTTCGTGAGTCCTTGCACTCAATCGGACGAGTACGGTAGTTTCTATCGTTCATTGACTCAAAGCTTTCATCAACATGCACAACTGTGAACATACACCATATACATATGCCAGTTCAACCCGTTGAACACAGATTAGGAAGTCCACCGGCTGAATTGCAAATCAAAGCAGTGCACATAGACGTTACCAGATCCATACGGGCCGCAACCCACTCACACCCACTCAGCATACAATTGCACGGACGACGACGGCTGTAAAACCAGTCCGTCAAGAATCGAGGCTCTCAATTCAAGAGGAAAAGGATCCAACACCGAGAAACTCGGGCTCGTCCCTGGGTCCCATGGTGCACATTTACGTCCAAAAGCATAATGCAGACAGGACAGGTCTTGGCTAGGCATGACTCAATGTGCAAAGAAAAACAGTATCAGGTTACAGGTCTACTGAGGTGTTCGAAGGATATGAGAGGGGGCAGGTCGTGACCCGTTCCGCTTGCCAATGAAGGCCCCTCCTTTTCCTGTGCGTTGGCTGGTGCTGACCGCCGCGAGTGATGCTTGTGCTGGCGCCTCCCTCCTGTCCGCTCCTTCCCCAACTGCTCCGATCCAAGCTCCGTGCCCCCCGAGCCTGGCCCCCGCTGGCTACCCCTGTGCTTGCTCCTGTGACTTCGACTCCTCTTTTCCTGCTGTACTTCTTCCCCCGCGCTCCCGTGCTTCCCTGCCAGCAGGCTGGCCACGCTCTGGTCCAGCACGCCCCCCTTGAGGCTTCCCGCTGACGGCAGCCCTTCCCCGGACCTCCACCGCACCACCCCCGGCGGGAGGTCCTCGTCCAGCTTCACGATGGCCCGCGCAGGCTTGCGCTTCGGGGCCGGGGCAGGGGCTGCACACACACCAGGTGTCGAGGGTAAGCGCGGATAAACGGCCGGAGGGGCGACGACTTGCCAAAAACGGCCCATTTTCGTGCCACACAGCTTGCGGACAGTCGGACAGTGCGAAGGTGGGTGGCCGAAACGTGGACACGTTGCGATATCAGATCGACCGTTCACTGCTAGCACTCGAGCGAAAGCCGAGCATCAAGTCAAGTTTGGAAGACAGCTTGCCGACACGAAAGAAGCACCCAAAATTTCACCTTGCTGCGTAGCTCCCGCCGCCTTTTCTTGCCCGGTATCCTGCTCCGGCGCCCGCTCGTCGTTGGCCAAATAATGCTGCCCGTGCCGCTGTCGGTGCGCCGCGCGAGCAGCTCTCGCGTCCTCCGAGGCTTGGCCCTCGTCCACAGTCTGCGGCCTCTCCGCAGCGGCGTCCTCCCGCGCGCGTGCCTCGGGCCCCCACTCGGGCGGCCCCGGCATGCCGTACTCGGCACGCAGCCCCGCGAGCCCAGCTAGCGACGTGTCGAGGGGGAGCCCCGGTGGAACCTCCACCATGGCCTGCGCGTGCGGCGCCACCGGCCGCAGCTCCTCCTTCTGCGCCGCCGCCAGCCGGTGCAGCGCCCCACGCGCTGTAGGCGTGGCCGCCAAATACAGCAGCGCTGCCACATTGCCCGCGCGCTCCTGCACGGCGCTGTGGCCGCTCTCCAGCAGCGGGCCCAAGTGGGCGCGTACCAGTTGCTCCAGGGAGCCGGCCAAGCTGGGAGGGGCCTCCCCGACGTGCGGCTCGCTAGACTCTGGAGTCCCCCGGCGGTCTGGACAACCCACGTCTGATGAACCATCCTGCCCCGTCAATTGGGGAGCTGCAGCAGGTCCGGCGCGATCGGCCTGGTTGCTGGATGTCGGAAGCGCCTCCTCCGCGCCGGACAGCTCGTCTGGTGTCCCGCCCCCCTCCGCTGGGTTGCCGGCCGCGTCTTCCTGCTCGGGTGGAATTGCGCGGAGGGCAGACGTGGAGGGCAGAGGGGCCCATACCACGGTGGGCGCAGCGTTGGCAGCGGCTGATGCTGCGCCCCCAGACGAGGCCGCTCGAGCGTGCAGCAACAGCTTGAGAATAGCCTGCAGAGCAGCCACGAGAACAGCACAAAGCAGGTAATCAAATGATGGAGACTCATAGGGACGAACATTGCCGCGTCTCGTTCACTGCCCTTGCTTCGACTGCCGTAGAGTGGCGGGCTCTATAGTGCAAGGAGAGCCTTCGGTGCAACAGCAACGAGACGGCAAGCTTAAAGTTGGGGTCGAGCAGCACTCGGCGGTAGCAATCCCAAGCAGGGCTCCAGTCGCCAACCTCTTAGTACTCAGGCGCCACGCTTGCAAGCGACGCTGAGCCCGACCAGCCAAGCAGCCTTATAAATTTGTTTCAAATCACAAAACACGTCGACTTGCTCAAAATGTGAACCGGCCTGCCTTGACAGCCCCTTCAATCTCTCGGCTCGCGCTAGCATTTCAATCAAAAGGCTGACCTGCACAATCACGGCCTGCACGCCCGCGGGCAGCGCCGTCACGTTGGGCTGCAGCAGGGCCTCCAGCACGCCCCGCGGGTCCCGTACGTGCTCAGCGTACTCGCCCGTGATCCACGCTGCAGCGCCCAGAGCGGCGCTCACTGTGGGGTGGGCGGGGCCGCCCCGAAGCAGCGACGGGGCCAGGAGTAAGTCTGCACGCGACACGTGCCATCAGGATTGCACTCGTTCGAAACGGCCGTATAAGGCATCAAACAGACGGGGCGCAACCCCAACAGGACCAGGAGGTCCAGGCCGGGGAACGTCCAAGCCACCCACCCGCTTCAAGAGACCAACCATGTGGGGCCGTCAGTCAACACTTTATCTCGACGTAAAGCAAACAAACGGGTAACAGGTCTGTGTACTTTGGAATGCTCGGTGGTCAATCACGGCTCTCTCTCGAAAGCCCTGTAACGTCGTTGCTCCTCTTATCTCAACCCTTTAGCAGGCCTTTGGGCCAGCAGTGACCGCAGTCGTGGCCGCTTACCCCGGGCATGGTGCACGAGGTCGGGGCGGCAGTCGGGCACCCGCAGCGCGAGGTCTTCCAGCTGCGCCGCCACTGCGCCGCCGTGGGGCGAGCCGGGCACCGCCGCCAGCTCCACAAGCACGCTCACATACCTGCGGCGGCAGGACGCACAGAGCCGTCAGTAAGATCGGAGCGGTGAGGGGACATTGCCATAAAACCTGGATTATGTACGGAGAGATTGAACCGGCGCCAAAGCCTTTTACATTCACACTCACACATAGAACAAAAAGGAAGAGCACTCTGGAGCTTGGCATGAAAGCGTTCAGACTGTCTCGAAGTTCGTCATCCGCCTTCCTGCATACTTCCGACCCATCGTTTGACCTTCGCTCAGCATAATATATCGTTCGGCTGACTCCAGATGAAGAAATTCTGCTCAATTGTGCCGAGTCAACCAAATAATCTGCTACGCTGTGCCAAGACCTCACACTTACCTCAAGGGTCATAACCTCGTAAGCGTAGACGTCGGAAAATGAAGTTGTAAGTTCTCTCACTGTGCGTATCACTGTGAGTATCAGACTTATCGAAAATGAGCTAATATTTTTGACATCCACTTCATGGTGAGTTTTCGACCATTTTGACAGACCATTTCGAGAGCATAGACTCAACAAGTACTTCGAGATAAGCTTGCACGTCCACAAATGGAAGAGTGGCGTAGAACCCCTGCCCCTGCTCAGATCCTTGTCCACTGGTCACACCCTTGGCCCACGCTCAGGAAAACGGTGCATAACTTCCTGCGGCCCTGCGTCTCGGCCCCTCACCATGCGAAGTCCGCCACAAGAGCGTAGTGGTCACGCGAATTCAGGTCCAGCAGCGCCGCCATGAGCTGGAACTGGAAGTCCGGCTCCACCGCGCCGCCCCGCACCAGGCGCAGCAGGGCCTCGCTCACGAGCGCGGCGTCGTCGGGGGTGGCCACCAGCGCGCGCACCAGGCGCAGCGCCACCGCCTGGATCGTGGGGTCCGCGTCGCTGAGGCACGCCAGAGCGGTGCCGTGGTGCGGGGCCACCACAGCGGCCTGCCCGGGGAGCAGCCGCTCCAGCGCCAGCAGCCCTGCACGCCACCGCCGCAGTGATCAGGCAAAGGGCGAGCCGGGGGCTAACTTTCTACTCCATCAGGGGCCGGCCATATGTGTCTAGGAGTAACTAAGGTATTCCGCAGTCAGTTAGTGCTTAACGATGCAGCAACTCCCGTTCAGGGGTGTCAGCCGAGAGGCAAGCCTTCAATGAGGCCCCGCAAAGTGTCCCTGGTCCGCCCCTAAGTGTCTGGCCTGGTCGACGACCTCTGTTCAGTGTATGCAGAGCAGGTTTTGCCGTCGCCTCCTCACCGAGGTAGCGCAGGTTGGCGTCCTCGTCCTGGATAAATTCGCGCAGCTTGTCTCCGCACAGGGCCATGACCTCGGGGTGGTGCGGCAGGCTGGCGGTCGCGGTGCGCACGCACTCGTATGCCAGGCTCTTGGCGGGAGTCCGCTCCAGGATGGCCGTAAGGGGGGCCGCCAGGCGCGCGGCGAGGCGCGGCTCCAGGGGCGCCAGCACGGCAAACAGCTTGACCAGCTTGATGACGAGCCAGGTGTGGCTACTGCGCGTGAGCAGGGCGAAGAGGGGCGGGGCCAGGGGCAGGTACGCAGACGGGGCAGAGCTGGAGCACACCAGCTCACACAGCACGTTCACGGCGCAGCACACCACCGACGTCTCACTGTCCTGCGAACCAAGGGGGCAACAGAGTGATGCAGGGGGTTTTCTGGTTGAGCAGTCACATGTGATGCGTTCAGAATGTGCGAACTTGCTCGAAGAGGTACCTCAGTAAACAATGAAGGCATTTGATCGGTTGTGACATACGCCATCAGAACAACAATTGCACAGCTTGTGAAGGGGGTGGAAGCCATAGGCAGGGCGACTGCCAGCCCGCGCAGGTGGGGGCCGCTCACATTGAGGCTGTCCACCAGGGCCTTGAAGGCGGAGTGGGGCGCAGTGTCAGGGTCTGCGCGGAAGAAGTGGTGCAGCACCAGGACGGCGCGCTTGCGCACAGCCAGGCGGCCGGACAGCAGAGCACGGCACACGTCGGGGAGGAGGTCGCGCGCCAGGGAGGGGGTCAGCACGCGCGAGAGAGCGTTCAGGGCCTGAGCAGCCTCGTACTGCACGCCAAGGCAGGGCCGTCACTCCAACGCTCCACCAACTAAGAGCGCCAGGGCAGAGACGGTCCACCATACATTCTCAGAAGCTGAACACGCCGGCTATCACAACAATCCCAATCCTGTTTCTGCAATCCGACAAGTATCTTGCCTTCTCAGAAAACAACTAAGAAAGTTGGAAGGATTTGATAACATGGCTGACCTCGTTTTGCGAAGCGAGGTCCTTTTTGAAGAGGTTTGTGGCGAGGAGCAGGAGGTCGGAGTGACCTGTGAATGAGTGGCAGAGTGCGAGGTAGCCCGCCTGCTTGTGCCAGAAGCGCGCCTGGCTCATCACCTCCAGGCAGTGGAACGATGCCCACTCCATGCCACTGCCCTGCACGCAGCCCCCAGCAAGATATCAAGAACCGGGATCAGAGGACGAATGATAAGCCAGGAACACAGACGATGACCCAACTGTTGGCCTTCAGCCCCCAACAGTCGGTCTGTCTAACAAAATTTGCTTAGATGCTTGCTTGCAGCCACCTTTGTAGCACCCTCCAAGACAGCAGATGCTGATGGTGGCACGCTACGGAGGCGGGGGTGCACCACCACCGACTGCACGGCCTACCTGCAGCATTGCAATGTATGTGACTTTCTGCAGCGCAGTTGCTTTGATGTGGGGGTCAGTGGACCGTATCTCCCTCTTGCAGTCCGCCAGCGCAGCCTCCAGGAAGGCCGCCTCCCCCAGGCTGGTGCTGCGCAGCGCCTTCACCAGGTCCGTCAGCGTGTTCTGAAAGAACGACTCCATGGGGGCATGCGAGTGGCGCGCGCCAATGCAAGCAGCTTAGCAGCAAAAGCAGACGAGGACAGAGCGAGCTGTGTCCTGCCCGCCTGCCTCAGTTGGAACCACTTTTGCACTTTCGAGTGCTCGCCTTCAATGTCAGCAGCTCCTTGCGCATGCAGGACATTTGAATGATTCATCGAGCATCCTACAAAATGCTTGCGTGATCCCTGCAAACTTGTGTACGTGCAGATAGCCAGCAAGCAGCAAACCCTAAAATGGCCCAAACCCTAATTTGCAAACTGTCACCTCGAACGGCAGCTGGACACTCAATATAGCTCACAATTTTCTTCAACCCCTTTGGTGCTTTGGCGCCCTAGTTTATAGGAGGGGTTCCTGCTCGCTGCGGCTCAGCTCCTTCCTACCTCCGTTTGCTGATCCTCCCAGATGGGGTTTCTGTTGATCAGGACGCAAGAGAATTACGATTTATTGCTTTGAAAGGTAAACTTCATGTAGCATGTTACTTTTCAGTACGAATACAGATTGTTTAAGTAGAGGCTCTCAGCCAGCTGGTGGTGCTACACAAGTCTGCAAACTTTCTTTCTGGTTGATTGCAGAAGAAGCATCAGATTACCTGCCCCAAATGTGGTGCTTGCAAACAAAACTGGGCTCATTGTGAGTCATATCCAGCTTTGTATCCTTAAAAACATGGTTTCCTGATTCTCTCTGCCAGATCATGTTACATAGTCCCAGGGTGAATGTCCGGAAGGAGGGACTGCGTTCTTTACACTTCTCCCACATTGAGGGCCTCTTGGGGTGCACAAATGCAAGCCTACCTTGCGGGGCCAGAGGAGCGAACAGATAACCACAGCAAGCTTTGGATTTTGAGTGTGAGTCCGTGACAACCAGGATGTGCGGCCCGGGGCTCCCATGGCCAGGGATGATTACAACCGCTGGGGAACTGGAGGTGACCAGCTGGCGCCCCTGCCCTCCACGACCTTTGCGGAAGCGCTAGGTAGAATCAGCCGCCAATGGGTCCCGCACGACTTGCCGTCTGCACAGGACATTGTGGGGAAGAACGAAGCCCCGGGCCCAGATGGCCGTGGACCCCAGCTAGGCCGGGCGTCCTGTGGCACCCAGACTGTGGGGGACGCGGGTGTGGCTGGTCTGCGGCTGCTGGGAACAACAACACGGAGGGGCTTCCAGGAGGGCTTGCCCGCGTGGCAGGAGGAGGACAGCCCCCCCAGCTATGCCGGGTGGAGCCCCGCTACGGAGCGGCCAATTCGGGACAGCCTGGGGCGGGAAAACGAAAGGGGGGAGTCCGGGGGGCTGTCCAAGGAGGGCAGCCGCAGGGCGAGCCTGGGGGAGGTGGCGGGGGAGAAGGGCGAGAGGCAGCGGGAGTGGTACCAGCGCATGCTGCTGGCGCTGAAGCTGAAGCAGGCCAAGCGCATCGAGGACATGGAGGCGCGCTTCGAGGAGGAGCTGCGGCGGCGCACGGACATGCACGAGACAGCGCTGCAGCAAATGGCAGCGCAGGCGGCAGGTGAGGGGGCAGTGGGGAAACCAGGGCACCAGGCGTAGTCACAAGAAGGACTGCCGGCTCTGTGCCATTGGATTAGTCCCTCATTGATACAACCAGCGCATGAAAAGGATAGTAGTTTGGCACCACGTTTCTGGTCCTTGGACGCAGTTCGAGGGGAGTGGTTGCTGATACTTTGTGTATGTGGCTGCAGTTGCCTCCTCTTCAGCCCAAGCGTGCGCGGCAGCCCAGGCGGCGGTGCGTGACTTGGAAGGGCAGCTGCGGGACGCGCAGGTGGTGGTAACGGAGCTGCAGGGACGACTAGCGAAGCAGCAAGAAGAGCTGGAGCTACGCCGCGAGTACGACTTATACAAGCAGCGTAGCGCGCATGAGAAGGAGCTGGCCGCCGTGGCAGAGAAGCAGCGGGCACAGCTGGAGCAGCTCCAGGTGAGAAGCCGCTGGGGGGACACTTGGGATAAGGGCGGGGGGGGACGGTACGATCATCCTCGAGAAATATGAAGAGATACTACATGTGGCTCTGGCAGAAAACACGCAGCTTTGTGTAGTTGCACTCACTTCTGACCATGACCGGTCATATGTTTGCCCAACTGGTCCAACCAAAACCGAGAGTTACTCCATGGAAGAGAAGAGGAGGCTGATTTAATCTCTGTAATAACCTAGCACAGTATCCTACCTGAGGGAAATCATGTTGATGACTTTGCCTGGTCGCTGACCTGCGCCGCCCTGCTGTGGCACAGGCGGAGATGCGGCAGGCTGTGGCTGCACGGGAAGAGGCGCACGAAGGGCAGCAGGCTCTCAGGCTGCAGCATGAAGCGGAGATGCGGCACCTCCAGACGGAGCACGCCGCCCAGTTTGCCAGTGCACATGCCCAGGTGGGAAGTACGGGCTAGACAAAAGTCAACTCGTTTGAGGTTCTGCTTTCAGTTCGACGAACAGGCATTCTTTTAATCAATAAGGAACATGATTTTGAGCATAGACACGACGACGATGCCACAGGAGATCACACAAACCGGAGGCCAGCTTATAGAAATCTCCCTTGCCATTGGCAGCCCCGTGTGCCGTCCGTAAGTTTGCGCCGGGCTGCTTCTGCAGATGTTGGCAGCGCAGCAGGCGGTGGCTGCTCGGGGGGAGGCGGAGGCGGCTGCCACAGCGCTGGCGGTGGCGCAGGCCCGTAGCGAGTACGAGAGCAAGCTGGCGGCCGCGCTGCGTAGCCTGCAGGACAGCCATGCCGAGCGCTGCGACCTGCTGGAGCAGCACTGGCAGCAGGCCAGCCAGGTGAGGCCCTGCGGCCACCTGGGCCTTGAGTCCGCCCCCTCGTTCTCAAGTGCCCGGTCGCAAAAGAGTGCCAGTACTCTGTTGACAAGTCCCCTTTTTCAAACCTTCAGCCATGCACTCTCATGTGCCGCGGCCCTCGAGCATTCTCGGCGCTCGTGTGGCTTGTCTGCGTTTAGTCCTTGCCAGCGCGATGAATCGCTGGGTCTGACTCGACTTGTGCTCGCTCTTCCAGCGGCAGAGCCACGAGTATGAGCTGGTCATCAACGAGCTGCGCGCGGCGCTGGCCACCTGCGATCCAGCCGGCGAGCCGGTGCCCGTGCTGCGCACAACAGGCCTCCGGGAGGCCCCCGAGAGTCCCCGTAGAAACGTTGCCCCCCAGCCCGGCCCGGGGACAAGGCTCGGGCCGCGCCGCCCAGGAAACGCTCCATCAGGAGAGAGGCCCGGGCCACTGGCAAGGACGCAGTCTAGCCCGCCTCGGTTGCCCCCTCCTGCTCGAGTGGCCAGCCGTGTAGTCACGCCCCAGCCCGCCAGCGAGCCTCGCGGGAGGGCCAAGAGTCCCGAGCGCGGGCCCGGTCGTGCGCAGCAGCGCACCCGTCCAAGCCCCAATATGAGCCCCCGTGAAGGCAGCTCGCCTGCCCCGATGCAGCAGGGCCGCCCCTCAACGCCCCCGGAGCGCATCCCCTACCAGGAGCTGATGAGCAGCCTGCACGAACTCGACCAACGCATGGCTCGGTCGCCCCCACGACACCGCGTTGGGCTGGACCAGGAGGCCTTGGGAAGTGGCAGCGGTGCGCAGAGGGGTTGGCAGCCTCCGGGATATGTGAGCCCCCCTCCAGCCCGGCCGCTCGCCCGGTCGGCGGCAGCCAAGCGGGCCCCCGCGCGGAGCTACCTGGACCGGCTGCTGCGGCAGCTGCGGGAAGAGCAGACGGCGGCGCAGCGCGGGGGCAGCCATGACCAAGAGCTCCTCAGCAGTGGAACCAAGAGCTTGCCGCCAGAGCACTGGAACAGGACCAAAGGGGGAGGCATAGGCTGAAGATGGGGCTCGGACAGCAACAGGACTGCGCAGCACGTGACGGCGTCGGATTGTGTTTGGAGTCTGAGTCAGCTTCCTCGAAAAGAGGACCGTCAAAATGTGTGGATAAAGTTGGAGACCCTTACTGGGGCCGAGAGATAGTCGTCAAGATTGAGTACTTGGCCCCGAGGAACTGTAAGTTATGTGAGCTCAATCATATCTGTATTCTTGAAATATAGTGGCTTTCGTCGCGTGGTAGTCAGAAGTCCTGCAACTGAACATACTTGGGACGAAGCTCCAAGAGGACCGAGAATCGTGCCAGAATCACAAGAACGCTCGGTTTGCAATCCCAATGGGTTTTGCCCATCTTCCGACACACCATGCATGACTGAAAGCTGTCACTGACAACTCAGGTACTATAAGCGGCCGCGCGGCGCTGACCATCGACGACATACGTACATGTGCATAATTGGTCGTATTCATGCGCATGATCGGGAACGGTTCAACAGTTCGCATTAAACTGCATGGCAGTCTAGTTATAGGTGCCGTTCGTTCTGCAAGACGCAGCCCCGACATCATTGCAGGCGCCGGTCTGCAATGATAAGCATAACTTGTGGTTTTTCTCCTATATGCATTGTGAGGATCAACGTACGAGCGCAAATCGATCCCGTTGCAATTACGTACACGTATCCAACTCTCAGGTACTTTGAGGGTGGTCATAGATAAGCAGACGGTTGGGTCGTGCTAGCTGCGGGGCCGCCGGTTATGCCTAGGTCGGCTTCTTGCCTGCAGAAGCTGGGCCGGGCGCAGCTGCGTGCAAGATTGAACATGTCGTTCCACGCGAAACATATGCGCGAAACTTACAGCTTGCTTAATGAAAGTGCATAATGTTGTACAAAATTGTTCGAAATCCGTGAATGATGCAGCTGTGCAGCGCAAGTCCAGCGCGCGCGCTGTGGATCAAAATATGGCCCGGCGCCTAGGACCCCGCACGTCAATCTGAATTGGTACTTCGTTGAAGCCGGGCAAACGGAGTTCGTATAAGGGGTTGAAGGACTCTGACTGCAACCAATACATTGAACATACCACATCCACGAACATAGTACCGTCAGTGATTTGTACACTGGCTCGAGGCCTGCGGGGTTGGAACTTTGCAGCATCCTCATGTACATGCATGGTCTGGCGGCTGTGAGTCCTAGCTAGCTCCAGCGTGGCGCGCCTGACCGCGGTACACACGGCGACAGCAACGGCCGTGTCCTAGCTCGCGGTTCAGCATCCTGCGCGCCAGACTCATGGCGGCAGTCGTTCACCCGCCGGAGAAGCGTCGTGCACAACGTGCAATGCCATGTTGCTTGAAATGTGCCGGTCCATTCACTCGAGTCTCGGTGCTCATTCCTTTTGTAACAAACACTTCTATTTGGTTCATAGTAGTTCCCTTCTCCATTCAGTCACTGTCACAGGAAAACAGAACCAGGTCTGGCAGCAAGCCTGTCGTGTGTGCTCGCGTTCTGTGTATGTTACACTAAGATATCATACCAAGCCTCGTAGACGCGACGAGCTATCCGAAGTAGCGCCGCCAACCGCTCTAAAGTCCAAAAGTGGAGTCACAACCTATGCTTAATCTCTCTTCGCGTTGATCTCCTCACATCGAGGCGAGAGCTTCTTCAACCCTGCCTGCATTCCTACCCCATTTAGATTCAAGAAAAGGACTGATCATCGTCCCGGCTTATTCAAGCAGTCGGTCATTGTGTTGGCTGTCCTGTAGCAGTCCGCCCGGCCGGGATTCCCGGGCGCCCTGCGCTCTTCCTTGGCACGTGCCTAGTACTTGTCGTTGATCTTGATCCCGCGGATGTCGGACGCGGTGCGGTCCGCCAGGCTGGACAGCGTGATCTTGTTGTCCACCGTCGTCGGGCCGCCCTTGGCGTGCACGCCCTGCGCCAACCACCACTCGCAGACGTCAACCACACACAAACGTCGTGTCATCCGGCAGGCGGCAAGCGGAACCCATTTTATGCAATGAATGCCTTCATTGAGGGACTGTTGTGATGTCCGAAGGCATCGTGTTCACAAGCAAGAGGTACTATGGTGGGGCGGTTTGTCTCAAGCCGCAGCGATAAGCCACGGATTGGCAGTCCTCCAGTGTCCGCCTGGGCGGAACCCAAAGCAAGACAAAGGAGGCAGTCGTTCTCCCGAAGACAGCGGACTTGAGCGGGGCCGGGCGGCTCACGGTGTAGAGCGCCTTGTCGTCGTGGAACTTGACGGCCTCCGCGACGGTGCCGCTGCTGGAGGGCCCCTTGGCGGCGACCACCTTGGCCTCCACGTCCGCCGCGCTGCACCCCTTGCTCTCCGCGATGGCCGCCAGCGCTGCCTGGAACTGCAGGTACAGAAGACGGCCCACACCAGGGTGAGTGAGAGTTTGCGGCGGAAAGGAGGCAGGCGGACGAGGGTCAGAGCAAGCAAAGGGTGTGACACGCGTTTAGTCGGCGCAAGGCATTCCGAACCATGTCTTGGTCTCAGAGGGCAAGGGTTCGTGAGGGCAAAACGGCAAATGTGAGCCTGCGGCACGCTGCGGAGGGTTTACCTGGCTGAAGGTGATTTTGCGCTCGCCCTTGGGCTTGACCTTGGAGAACACCAGGTCCACGCTCTGCACACCGCGCACGGCGTCAGCGGGGCCGCCGCCAGCAAGGGGCCGTGCCTGGCTACGGCTTGGCACCAGGGAAAAGCTCCAGAACAACTCCCGCAACCCCGGAGCTCTGAATCAACTTGGACAAAGCGACGCGTCAAGCGGACATATGAGTCAGACAAACCGCGGCAACTTCGGGCCTTGTAACTACGAGGACGCGGCAGGAGGTTCGGGCCGCGCGTGCTGACCGTGGTGGTGAACTTTTTGTCGACGAGGCCGCAGTCCTTGCACAGCTTCACGAACTTGGCGCCGTCCATCTGGTTCACCGGCTGCACGGGGCGACCAGCACAGGCGTCAGTACAAAGCGCGGCAGAACTTGAGCGCCCGCAAGTGCCGATGCAAAAGCAAGTGACCAGCGTTTTGATTCCTGGGCGAGAGCGTTTGTCCGTCCTCGCCCGCGCGCGCGCTCCTGCGGCTGACCTTGCCGGAGGAGCCTGCGCCGAAGGAGCAGAAGTCGTCGAAGACGTCCTGCAGGGAGCCCCCGGTGTAGGACCCCGAGATGCGCTTCTCCGCCTTGAACGACGACTGCGACGACAGCGCCGCCTTCTTGGGGCTGCCGCCCGCAGGCTCCACCGCCGCGTACCCGCCCTTCTCCGCGCGGTCGAACTTGGGCTTGCCCTCGTCTGGACACAGCGTGACAGCACGAAGTCAGAAAACAATTTCTGCGCACAATAGGGAGATGAGCAACAGGGTATCGGTAAACGCGGTGGGGACATCGTTTGGACATGATACTCGCTCGTTGTGGGATTCCACTTAGGAAGGCAGGTGCAAACAAATTGGCTAATTCGAGGGGAATTGAGTTGTTGTGGAGATGGTTCCCGACGAAGGCAATCGACTTTGCAGCATGGCCTCTAAGGTCGTGCGAAACAAGCTCTACCCGACTGCTTCTTTCGGGAAATCGTCAAGAGACCGGCTGAATGTTATGTTTGGGCCATTATATCTGTCCATAATGGCTCTCGACGACTCTTGGGCGGATGCTTTCCGCGCTGCGCCCAGCGGCCTCACCGCTGAGCCGCTTGGGCAGGCCCCTGACGTCAGCCGAGGAGCGGTCGGCGAGGTTGGACAGCGTGATGACGTTGTCCACGTTGGTGGGGCCGCCCTGCACGTGCGTGCCCGTGTACAGCGACTTGTCGTCGTGGAACTTGTTGGGCTCCGCTTGCTGCACGCACCCGCACCGGCCACGGGCATCAAGAGGAGCCATGACTACAGGCGTGAAAGTGAAACGACATGCAGTCTTCTATCGCTCTTCGTCTGCCCACCATTGCGCCCTTGAGGGCACAGCACCAATTCTCTTTAACCACGTGGGGGCTTCTTCAGCTGCACCCGTCATCGTACAAGGCCAGGGTGTTATGAAGCTCCGTGAATTCAGGCATCCTTAACGCAGCTTTTTCAGGCTCTGGCTAGTTCGTTTCCTTCTGGCTGTTCCTTACAGTGCCTGAGGAGGAGGGCCCCCCTGCCGCGACGGCCTTGGCCACGATGTCGTCCAGCGAGGCGGCCTTCTTTTCGGCCACCAACTCGAGCGCCTTGACGAACTGCACGTAGTCGATCTTGCGGGCACCCTGCAGGACAGTCGGAAAAAAGGTCAGTCACAAGGGGGAAGTGTCTGAGACGGGTGACAGGCAGGACTTCTTGTTCGCGTTGTACCTGGTATTCTTTCCAAACCAGGCCCCAGGAGTCCACGAAGAAGCCCATGAAGCTTTGGCCCAAAGTGTCTGTTCCGTCCAGTTTCCGTTCAGTACAGCATTGCCACCTACGCTTGCACCCACGAGTCTCCAACATCCCGGCCAAGAGCCTGTTTGGGTGACCAATCTATTCAATTCTCTGCTTTTACCATTTAGTGACTGCATGAAATATCTCGTATGTATCTTCTTTTTTCGAGGTGAGACAGGCGTATGATTTTAGGACGGCCCCATTCATCTGACGCCCCTTACCTTGGCTTTGGCCTTGGCGTACGTCAGGTCCACATCGGTGGTGGTAAACTTCTTGTCCACAATCTTGGTGTCGCGGCAAAATTTGGCGAACTTGGCCCCGTCCATCTCCTCCACCTGCACACATACACGTGCCGCACATTGTCAGGGATGCGGGGAGGAGCGCAGAAGGAAAGCTGCAGCCGGCAGGCGGGTCCAAAGGAAGGCCAGCCGCAGGCGGTGACAGTGGTAACACCTTTTGCTGCCCAGTGACTGCCTGTTGTCTACCTCACAGCGTCTTCACTACCCCCTCCGGCATTCACATTACCCCTTGCTTCAGCATCCTTCTGTTCCAACTTATCCTCAGGGATTCGAGAAAGAAATGGTGGCAATAGAATTGAAAGCCGATGAATTACCCTCCTCTGATCTTATGACTAAAAGGGAAATTGTTTGCTTCAAGACCAGAGTCTCTCTCAGAGGGCCTGTCCTGCCAAGAGAGGAGGCTAGCAGTCCATCACAGTGCTCAGTCATGCTTCCTGCCAGCAGCATTGCAAAAGGTCCGACCACCGAGTGGACCCCTTATTGCGTACTGGAGGCGTACTGAGGCCTTTGCCCCCCAATGCCCCAATGATGCTTTGTCCGCCTGTCATTTCTCACGTCTGCCTCCTATCTACACTGTCAAATTTATACCGTCTTTGTCAATATTACAGACATTACGCTGGACCCCTCACACCACATGCGTCTCGCTGAGGCTTCGCTCATTTGGCACTCACTCGCTTGCTGCTTCCGAAGGAGCAGAAGGTGACAAACAGTTGCGCCAGTTCATCGGCATGGGGGCCATTGTAGGAAACGGGAGCCATGGCAGCAGGCGGCAAGGAACAGGCGGCACGGCGCAGTGGCGATATCGTCCTGTTGGTTTCTAGTGTTGGAGGTCAAGTCAATAAAGTGACAAACGTCTTCAAATTAGTCGTGCGCAGGAGTTTTTCGGCACAAGGAATGTGGGTCCTATATTTTGTATACACTCGAATTCAGTGCTTTCCAAAGTTGATTACTGCACGTACGGTACGTCCAGATAACGGTAGCCGGTTGACCCTGCTGCATGTGTCAAGGTCATCAGGTGTGTCTTCCCGTCTTCTATACCTATGTCCAGACCGGACGTATGCTCCTTTCAGTCGATCGAATCAGGCAAATCTCTTTCACGCAAGCAAGATCTACAGGCTTTCTTTCATCTCGACTCATTTACTAAATGATAAATAATAAATGATTTCGTTTGATCAGCAGTCTTCAATGTTGCCTCGGCTCGGAGTCGAAATGTCTATCAACGGCGGAGAGACAGCTAGAGGCGGCTAGCTTGTCATTGTCGTCAAAGCGGTTGTGCGCGAGCTCAAACCTGGCCTATCGGACAATCGTGATCGTCCAACGGTGTTCGCCTTGGATTGGGTGATTCGTCGGAGGCGGTTAAGTACAGTTAGAAACTTCCATGTCTAATTGCCGTCGATTGGATACTTCAGGCTCCCTGACAAATCTGGGCCGTTGGGGGCTGCCAAAGCAGGATCCCACGTGGTATTTACTGGGTACTTTTCGGCCGACAATCAGCCAATCCATCCTTAACCTAACCCAGGTTGACACTGACGAAAGTTTGTCCGGACAGCTTGTCCGATGAGCTTTGCTCAGTGTCAAGCGGTCACCACGAGAACCTTCTGCTGGCAATGTCGGCCGGCGTGCTGCTGCGGCTCTCGGATGAAGCCTCCATCCCCTGTGCGACAAGTCGACTGCAGCAACTGCAATCCAGCCCACCCAGCCCAGCTGCTTGCAAGCTGCAATGCACCGGGCAGCTCTCACTGTCTGTGCCTTGGCTCTCCGCTTGATCTTGGGCGCCCCAGATCCGCCATAGCTGCTAGGAAAGCTGGTGGGTGAGGGACCTCCGGAGCGCTTAAAGTTCAAGTTCCTGGTTGTGGCATGGCGGACCAGCGCTTGGTCGTCTCCTGCCCGTCGGACACAAGCGGGGGCACAGATGTGCTGACGGTTCTCGGTGGCAAGTCGTCCTGCCGCCGCAAGTTTGCCATGGCGGTGCACCTAGTGGATGCGGCAGGGACGCTGGTGCCCCGTGACCTCGTCCTGCACGCCGCCGTGGTGTATCATCACGACCACTCTCTTGTGCTGCGTGGGGAGAAAGCAGCGGAGAGTCCAGTGTTTACAACCTTCAATGGCATTGAGTATCCTGCCACCGACAAGCCAACCCGTATGATTGCAGGAAGGGCCGCATTCAAGCTAGCTCTAAGCCTCCTGTCCTCCAAGTGCGACAACAGCCTGTTTGCCATCCAGTTCAGCGCACAGTACGCTCCAGGGGCGGAGCAGCTGCTGCCGCTGCCGCAGGCTGCGTACTCGGGCCCCATCCGGAGCATCTCGCGCAAGAGGAACAGGGTGCCGGGCGCAGGGGGCGGCCACCCAGGTAGGCAATGGAACTACAGCAAGCCAGCCCCGCTTGCCAGTCTGCTGCGGTGGTGGTCAGCTCGGTTAGTCCGTGTGGAAGCAGGGTTGCTGGTTCTGAGAGTTTGAGTGGTGGACCGAATGTACGTGCTTGCCTTCTGCACCATACATTGTGAACTGGCCACTGCGCATTGCTTCATTCGCTGCGAACCTGCACTTTTGAAACTGCTCATACTCAGAGGCCTCATTCGCTGGAAATGAGTCACCAAATATGCTGTTAACACTTACGTGTACAATGTGTAAAGAGCAGGTCAGCAATGTGATGCTGGAAGACGCACAAGCATTGGTATGGATATCCTTTGCACCTCGCATTGGCTTGCCTTGTCTCCAGCCTTGTCACCGAGCCAAGCAGTCCTGCTTGAACGTGCCCTGTTGAACATGGCTGCCAGGTGGGCTAACACGCGGCTTGAATGTGCAGGCTATCTGGCGGGCAGCCTTCTTGACGAGCTTCCCATCCTGAGGTCCCCTGCGTCCGGCTTTGAGCAAGAGCAGAGCTCTTCCCCCAGGAAGAAACTGAAGCCCGAGGAGGAGGACGAGGACGAGGAGGACCCAGATGTTCCAGGTCAGAGGGGCAGGTATGGCTCCCAACAACTTATTTCGGACTCTGCTAGGTTAGATTGTTGCGTGATTAAAAGCTGCTGATTATCTTATTGGCGGCGCAAGAAGTTGATGCTTCAAGGTGACAAGGTGATGCGCAGGTTGGCTTAGAGCATGGAAGGAAGGCCCTGATTTTGCACCTTGAGGTTGCAGGTGGCCAGCTTTCCAGGCAGGCCAACTGAGGACTGTTTTGATGCTGACAGCCTGCTTTGGGTTTGCAGCAGTCCAGCTCTGCCTTTGGAAGGGGCCAGTGCCGCATCATCCGGAGGGGCTGACCCTCCAAAGCAGACGCATGCAGAGGCTCCCATGTCGAGTGCCCCACCAGCTGCAGGCCATCCCACAGCCCAGGACAGCATTCTGGGTAGGTGCACTTCTGACGGGCCCGGTTGCCTCATAAAAACGCCTCTCATTCCATGGAAATAATTATTTCACAATCAAGTCTTGAGAAGACTGAGGGCTTGCAAAGCGCCCTGGGCGTGCATCTTCTGTCTGCTTGTGTCTCAAGTTCTGTGAGTGAAGAGGAAATATGGCGTGAAGCGTCAGTTCTTACCCGCTCTCGTTCTTTCCCCACCAGGCGCTCGTTTCCAAGCTCTGCACCCCGCTCCCCTTCACCCTGGCCCTGCCGCTACCCCTACCGGGGACACACCCAGGAGCGCTGGCGGGCCCCCCGTCACCTTTGCAGACCTGGCATCCATGCTGACCCAGGCAGGAGCCTTTGCGCCAGCTGCCCTCCGGTTACCAGCAGGAGACCCCAGCTCGCCCTCACTTGGAGCGGGGCCCTCGTCGGGCTCCTTGCCAGGCATGAGCGGCGAGCGCGACGGCCTGGCGTCCCCCATGACTCCCTTGACGTTGGACGCCCTGAACCAGGCCAGTGCCATGGCGGCGGCCGCCAAGATGGCCGCAGTCATTGGGAGAGCGCTGGAAGGGGGCGGGCATGGAGGCGAAGGGGCGAGCGCGGCAGAGATGGAGCAGCGCAGCCTGGACGAGGAGGAGCGTACCTTGCAGGTAGGGGGTGATTGGTGGTGATACAGCGCCCCAGACTCGCTGGATATCCCTTCAAATTGTTTGCTTGTGCCAGGAGTTGCTTCTGTTTGAAGCTGCCTAGCCCTCCTAGCCCAATCCAGGTGCAACCAAGCCTACACTCGTTGGCTGGTGCACGATGAGACAGTTGCATGCAAAGCTCTTTTTGAGTGCTTATGGCTCCGAGTCTGATCTGCGGGTGAGCCTAGTCTGCCAAATAGCTGGGGCAAGAGCTAAGCCACTACGAAGAAATCCTTGTCGTTGTACGAGCCTGTTTGATATCGACCAAAGCGCTGCCCGTTCTTGCCAAACCCTGCCTCACGATGTTGCTTTCAGCAAGTCAGTCTTTTCTGTCGTCTTTTGCAGTACATGGAGGCCAGCCTGGCCGAGGTGACATTGGAGCTGCTGCGCCGGCGGGAGGAGCTGAGCGTGCGGCGGCGCAGGTACCTGGACCACGAGCAGCGCACGAGCGTGGCCCGCCAGTCGCGCCTCATGTGGGCGTGTCCGCCCACGGGCCACTGAAGCCTCCACGGTCAGGCTCGCTGTGAGTCGAGTAGCATCATCTGGATCAGATATGCAACGGGTTGTTGCACTATATGGGAACTAGGACTGACCTCCTTACTAATCAGGCAGGCGGGCTTCAAGTAAGTTATTGGTGTCTTGGTACTGGACGGGTTGCAAGCTTTCCAGTAGGTAAAGGTGTGTGTGGGGACACGTGCACTATGCTAGCAATGATCCTAAGACTCAGGTACTAGAAGTGAACCGACCATCTGGATTCCTTGACAACTGAGGAAGAAGCAACTCAACATGCTCCGACTGAGCATTCTTCTAAATTACCGTGCACGAAAGCAGATGACTGCCCCGACTTGGACAGATTGCAATACAGACTCGTGCAGTGAATGGATAATACGATAGTCACTAAGCTTCCGTTGAGGCAGTCACCGTTAGCCACAACCATGGGTTGTGGCTAGCCCGAGGCGCCCAATTGCACACAGCATCTCACATCCTTCTATGCGAGATCTTGATTCCAATGAATCAGGAGACAATTACTGTATGGAGTAGACGGTAAGCGTGCTTCGATCGACAAGCTGACATATGATAGTGCCCCGGCCCTCCTTTTGAATCACCGTATACGTTCCATGTACATGCATCATGGCAGTGCATGCCATACAGATTGTTGCATGCGATCTGCACAGTAGTGTGAGTGGGCTGCGGATCCGATATGATTGCTTTGAACGGCCTGCTACAATGATGCATCATTGCCGCGGGCACGTATTGCATGGAGGAATATGTGCGTGCCGGGTGAGGAGGGACCCGCCATGCCTTATAGCTTATAGTGCTCAATATCATGGGCCATCCGTACTGTCCCTGATCGAACAAGATCGATCGAGTTCGATCACGTATAGTAAAGCTATTGTTTGTGTGTCGCGCGGCATGCCACATATGTGATCGCGCTCCACATTCAACCAATTGGCGCAGTCGATCGCTGAAACAATGATATCGTATTGGCCCATAATCCACTTGAAATGTTCACTTGATCGGATATAGCTGCGTGCACCGCGGGAGCGCGCGCTTCCAGATGCGCGTGCACATGTTCGTTCGGCATATATATACTACACCTAACATGATTGCTAGCTCTTGAGCTGATTGACAACCATATCCATCAAATCGTGACGTACTGATGCAGTGACAATTGCGGATTGTTGTGGTGCGGTAGGTGGCCCGCCGACTCGAGCTAGCCCGCCAGATACAGCGTTATTGTTCGCCATAAGTTGGTCTATGCAATGTATTAAGTATCTTAGATTTTCGATGACGGTTGTAAACAATTTGGCAATTGCGTTCGCAGGGTTCGATGGGCCAGCTACTGCGTATTTTAAGCAAGACAATTGCAAGTCGATCCGTTACCTGTGAGCGCAGCATCCGAATTCGCACTTGTTCAACCTCTCCGACTCAGCGTCCAGCCACCTCAAATGCACCGCGCGCGTGCTCCTCTCCTGACGGTTATTTCCATGGTTATCTCCTCTGTCCGATCACCCGGCGCGCAGAGCAACTACTGCGCTAGGCTAATGTAGCTACTGCAGCTTAACATTTTGCTAACTTAGAATTATGTACGCTTACGCAGCAAGTCGTCATCTGGTATTATGCAACCAACCAAGGCTAGCTAGACACGTATTCTGACCCTTTTGAATCAAAGAATATTTACGAATCCTTCAGTATCTAGGCTAAGGCAGCAGCAGCGACATAATTAATTTGAGCTAAGCTAGTTTTGGGAGCTGCACTCCGCTCTGCACCGCCCGCCCTGCGCGAGCCGGCCCTCGCATGCCAGGTAGTCCACCCAGTGGTCGCTGCGATTGCCCAGGATGCTCTTGCCGCCTGTCTCCAGCATTGGGAAGTTCTGTCGGGCGAAGCACGCCCCCCCCGAGAGCAGCTCCAGCTCGTCCTTCCTCAGCTCCGCCCCGGACTCATTCACAAAGGGCGCCATCCCCTCCTCCCCCTCGACATCTGCCCGCCCCTGGAGGAGCGCCTCGAGGCGCGTGGCCCCCCGCCCCGTGTACTCGCGCGACTGCGCCACCTGCATGCTCCAGCTGGACTCGCTGGTCCCCAGGAACACGGCCCCGCGCTGGCTCACCTCCTGCTCCACCAAACTGATGAACGACGCGTGCTCGCGCAGCAACGCTCCGAGCACGTCCGCCCCCTTTTCTCCGACCTCCCGTTCCACTTGCGGTGTCTCCCCTATTCCGCTGGTAAACACTCTGGCCGCCTGTCGGGTAGGTTCAGTCTGCCCCGCATCGCGGCAGTGCTCGAGGACCACCACCCGCTGCACCGCGTCGTGAGCCAGCAGCCCCGCAATTGCTCGTTCCACCAGCCGGCAGCTCTCCGGCCCGCGGATGAAGCCGTCGGTGGATAAGAAGAGCGTGGCGAGCCCCGCCGCCCGCATGCGCTCCCCCACGGCCGCCACGAAGTCGTCCACGCTGACTCCCGTCACGACGGCCAGCATCGGATCACCACAGGACGCAGGCGAGAAGTCGGCCGCGACCTGCCGCCATGCGTCGTGAGGGGGGATGAGAGACGGAGCCCAGAGTGCGCCATAGTTGCAGCGCACAAAGCAGAGGTGGTCCGTCGGCTTGTCGCGGCAGCGCAGCTCCTCCACGCGCCAGTGCAGGGCCAGGTAGGGCGTACCACCGAGCAGCTGCTGCTGGACGTGGTCTGCGTAAGCGCGCACCTGCGGCAGGGACGGAGATGAGAAAGATGACAAACAAGGCAGGCCAATAAGCAGGCCGTGAGATGCGTAGACACGATATTCTCGGGGGTGAACCACGAAGGTGAAGGTCGAAGGCGGCCCCTGAGGCGATACACGAATCAAAAACTTCTGTCGTGTCTACCAGCCCGCTAGCCACCACCCCAAAGCATCGTTACTGAATTAGACATAACCTCGATGTAATCCAACTGCGAGTTCGTCAAAGGCACCAAATTTTGATGGGAATTTTGCTAGTCGAGAGAATTTGGTGGCAGAGAAGATGAAGAGGGGCTGAAACGGGGACACCGGAGTCTGGGCCACTTTCTTCGAGGATCTTAGCCACGTATGGGGCCGAAAGGTGCCACCTTTCTGCAAAACAAGGCCATCGGTGCTTAGGAAAAGTGATGGCTTTTCGACGTAAAGGGTTGACTGGTAGAAAGGCTGTCTCTTCATTCAAACAAGCGGTAGTGTAAGCTTACCTTGTCGGACGGCTTGACGCTGGAGTAGAAGAGCCGCCACGGCTCCCGGAAGCGAAGCCCCAAGAAGGTGGTGGTCCCTAAGCAGGCCACAGCGCGGGACGAGCTGAACCAGGCCTCCAGGCTGGCGCGGCTCGACAGGCTGGACGAGGACGCGCGGGGGGAGACCTGCGGGGGGAGGAACGAGGAAAGAGATGAGCGATCCGCCAGTTGCATGTGCGGGGCGAAGTTCATGAGGGTGCTGACATCAGCATCACGCAAGGTCAGCCTCTGCGAGGAAGGCCTCCGGTGTTCAAAGCAGGGGCGCTTGTTGGCCCAGAAAAAGCGGGTCGATCAACATGACACACCGCTCCTTTCCATATCCATACATGTGTTTGTCAGCCACTGTAAACGAGATACAGGCTTGCCATTCCCTATAGAAAGGGGCCGCATGTGGGGGGTAAGATTCCTCTGGCCTTACACCCAACACATAGGCCAAGGACATGGAATGAAGACCATTCTATTCACAACTTTTGATCCCGCCGTTTCAGGACAAAGGTCATGAAGAACCCGATTCATGACATTTTTGACCTTTGTGAAGCACTTTGAAGAACCCGTTCTCCAACGGACACATGCCATCCCTCCCCGTTCCGGCATCACTCACTTTCCTCCCTAGGCGCAGCCCATGCGCTGCTGCGTAGTCGTCCCATGTCGGGTACTTGAGGCCTGGCCCGCGCTCGAGGAAGTAGCTCTCCATGAAGTGCAGCTCCTCCAGCAGGCCCCCGCACGCGGCGGCGCACTCCTCCAGGGGCCGCACGCGCACCACTGGCCGCAGGCTGTCCACCAGAAAGTGGTCCGACCACCTGCAATGTGACCACATGGGGGCTTAGCAGGGCTGACAAATCCGCTCCAAGCGCAGTTCGTCCAATCCGGGGCAGGACCTCCCAGTAAGTAGAAGCTAAGATGTGACACTGAGTGCTTCCAGTACAGCGGATTGGAAATGGAGCAAACCTAACTTGGTTCATTCCTTTATTTCACCACCTTCAGATGAAAAGCAGACTGTTGTGGGGTTTGACCTGCAGCAAGGTCTAAAGCCATGCCCCCCAGAACGCGTTTTACTCCAACATAGTGATTGACTGAGATCTCCCAAAGGTGTAGAGCCCAGTTGATGCTGGGGTATTTGCGGCTATGAAGAGGACGCAGGTTTAGGTGGGGCTCTCGGTAGAAGAAGCGTGGGGGAAGACATGGCCAGGGGCAAAAAGGGAGCAGAAGGGGTTGAAGGTGACCAAAGGCGACAGCTTTTCCCAAGAATGGGTGGCTAGAAGACTACACGCCCAAAACGTCGTCATGATGTCATCAGGTCCTATTGCATGCACACGGTTTCATGTGGCGCCATCAGGCGGGGGTGGCAGCGTTTGACAATCTGCAGAGTGCTGCTTGGCAGCAAGTAATCATGTGATGTTTGGAACTGTAACTACAATGCTGGCCCAATGCTGATCCTCACGATGCTGATCACCACTCCAGTCAAGCTGTGGTGTCATCATTTGACCTTTGGATGTAAAAGCGAAGTTGGAAGAGCGCCTCACTTTGGCACTTGGTTCAGGTCATCCCCTCCCTTGTGTTCCTTGGGCTGGGCCAGCGGGTTGGCGAGGCAGAGGGTACGGTTGAGTATGCGTGCAGTGTAGGCTGCAGAGATGAACTCCTGCAGCTGGTTCCCCACCCCCCACCTCTCGTCCACCATGGGGAACAGAAACTGCTCCGGCCCATCAGGGCTCGCGGCCCCGGCATCCCAGCGATCCCCCCTCGTGATGGACCCTTCACCGGAGCTGCTGAACGTGACCGTCTGCGTGACTGTCACGGACGTCTCTGCGACCCACTGGCCCTTGCGCCACTTGAAGGCGGGTGTGCTGTTCTTGAGCAGTGCCAGGAGCTGCCCCGCCAGCCCCGCCGCGGGCAGGCCCAGCAGGCCCTCGTCCACAGAGCGCACGCCTGCGGGTTCGCGCCACTGGAACAATGGCACTGCAACCACCGCGGCCAAGAGAAGGAGGCCCACCAGAAAAGCGCGCAAATAAAGGCGGGCAGCGGAGGGCTCAGGGCTGATCGACATTGTGGAGCCCCTGCATTACTCCAGGGACCACCATGGAGCAAGCAAATGGGTGCATGGCGGCCCTGCCATGGGCATTTCACAGAAGGACGAAGAGCAGGCGTTGCAGAATCCAGCAAGGAATTGCAAGGAAATCGCCTTGCACAATTGCACGTGCTGAAACGCACGGCATTAGGGTTTCGGCAACTTTCGGCGTCAAATCAAAAACTTGAATTTAAATTAGGGTTTGAGAACGCACGTGACTTCAGAGCAATTGGCTGGGGTGCTGTGCACTACAATAGCAGCTCAGTGCCAGTAGCATGCGCTGGCAGTGCCCAGTTGGAGGTGAACATGTTCTTTTCCTTTCCTTGAAGAACAGCGATGATGGAGGATCTGTTCAGCGAGGTGTTCTTGGAGCTCTCAATGGCCTGTAGTCCTACATATGGGCCTAAGTTGGTGGCGTGATTTCAACCAAGCTAATGGAGCTGTCCGACAGCGGCGGCCTGCTTGGCGGTCGTTGGCTGAGCGTTGAGGTGAGGCATACTGGCCACCGGTGGTTTTGCAGCGTGCAATTGTACAATGTCTTGTCGAGTTGATTACCTATCTTTCGATCGAAAACCTGATGCTGTTCGACATACTCATAGGCCCAAGAAGTGGCGAGCTCTCGGGCCACCCGTCCTCTGAAAAGAGTGATTCGAAAACTTTTCCAACCTGATGGTGCCAAATGTTATCCTCCCGCAGCCATCTGCCAGTGCTGCCGCAGTGTCTGAGATCACCGCCAATTTCCTGCTACCAAATGAGGGAGTTGTTGCACAGGTGAGCCCTACCCTGGTCACCTGTCACGTCGACCTTGTGACAAGACATGCGCTGTTTGTTCAGCTGACGAAAGGAAATTATACTCTCAGCTGAGCAGATTTTAGAGAAAGCTTTGAATGGCACTTTCCTAGCCGTGTGCTGCACAATGATCCTGGCCATCGTCACTTCCTTACTGAACCTTGCCGTCCGCGACTGGGCAGGTCTACAATGTGACGCTGGTGAACACTGGGGAGGATGGCATGCTCCTTGTCACCAACTTCCGCCTCGCCTTCCTGGCCGCCGGAGCGGCGCTCTCTCCGGCCCCAATCGCGGATATCCCCTTGGCGCTCATCGACCGCGTCACCAAGAGCATCAGCAGCAAGACTGCTCTGGCACTGGCGCGCGCACACCGCGGCTCCTATGGCGAGAATGGCGTTCGACTGATGCATGTGGCGGCTAAGGATTTGCGCCATGTGGTGCTGGCGTTCCGGCCCCACACGAAGCAGCGGCGGCTCATCTTTGACACACTGCAGCGCGTGGGCAAGCCGGCCAGGCTGCAGGAGCTGTACGCATTTGCGGGGAGCGCGGCACGGTCGACGGGGGGTGGGGGTCACACGTTTGGCATGGAGAACGCCTTTGGCCGGCTGCGCTCGGAGTACGAGAGAATCCTGCGACAAGCGGACGAGAAGCTGGTGAGGGATGCATGTTTGCCTGGGCGACAACCCAAGTTGACCATGTCTTTAAGGGCTCCGCTCACAGCTTCTCTTATATCAAACCCGCGGAGTTCTCTTTATACTGAATCCCTTTTCTAAACCATTTCAAATCTGTAGAATGAAGTTCCGTGTCTCGTGTGCAGCCCGCATCATCTGCCGGGCGGTGGCGCATCAGCGATGCCAACTCTGGCTACATGCTCTGCACGAGCTACCCCTCGCAGCTGCTGGTCCCTGCCCCCATCAGCGATGCGGAGCTGCAGGCGGCCGCCGCCTTCCGCGGGCGTGGGCGCATCCCCGTCATCACATGGGCGCACGCCAACGGCGCTGTCCTGGCACGCTCCGCACAGCCGCTGGTGGGCCTCATGATGAACAGCCGCAGCGAGGCGGACGAGGCTCTCGTGTCCAGCCTCTGGAGGAACACCGACGCAGGCCCTGCGAGCGGGAGCCAGCGGGGGTCCGGGAGCCAGAGCGTTGTGAGCGGGCAGGTGGGGGGGACGCCCACTCGGCAGGGCAGCTTCAGCGGGGTGCTGGAGGCGAGCCCGCGGCGGGCTCATCGGAAGCTGTACATCGTGGACGCTCGGCCGAGGAAGAACGCGTTTGCCAACGGGGCCATGGGGGGGGGTTCGGAGGGCGCCAACTACGCGCACTGCGAGGTGGTGTTCCTGGGGATTGAGAACATCCACGCCATGCGCGAGAGCTTCAATTGCCTCGCGCTGTACATTGACAGCTACGGCGCAGGGGCGGGTTTCGACATGAGCCGGCCGCCCCCTCCCTTGGACACGAGCTGGCTGGCGCACAGCGGCGCGCTGCTGGCGGGGGCAGCGTGGGTGGCGGGCAAGCTGCAGGAGGGCTCCTCCGTGCTGGTGCACTGCAGCGACGGGTGGGACCGCACTGCGCAGCTCACCGCGCTCGCGCAGCTGCTGCTGGACGGGCACTACCGCACCTTCGACGGCTTCCGCGCCCTGGTGGAGAAGGACTGGCTGGCGCTGGGGCACCCGTTTGCGGAGCGGCTGGGCCTGCCGGACGCCAGCGCGGCGGGGCAGGGCAGCATCAACCTGGGGGCCAGCATGTGGGAGAGGCGGCCCAGCGACGGAGGCACGCAGGACGCACGCAGGTGAGGGGCGGGGGGGCATTTGTCACAGCCTTGGCAGCAGACGCTTGTGTCGATGCCAACGTTTGAGAGCGGCGTCTCGAATTGAGTGAAATCGCTCCCGTCACTTGGGCAAAATGAAGTAGCGTGGAGCCGAGTTGACAGGCTCCCTGTCGCCACGTCTCGAATCCCAGAGCATAACGACTGCGTCTTTCCAACATGCTTCTAGGTGAAACTGCCGCCGCCTGCTGGTTGTCGTCCGTCCGTCTAGGGGGACAATTTTACGCTTCTGTTTTCAATAGTCGACTTCGTACGTCGTCCAGTCAGAGGCAGATATGATGCAGTCCTTGCTAAACATTTGATTCGGTTCGCTTCTTTTTTTGGATTGTTTTGGGCGTCTCTGGAGCGTTGATAGGTACACTGCATCAACAAAAAAATTGGCCCTGGACTTAAAGTGGAACATTGGCCTGTGAAATCTCCATGTAGTCCCGCTTGTTAGCTTCAACCCGTGATTTACTCTTCTGGCTGGAGGGCAGGAGTGTCAATGGATGAGTTTCATTTCTTGTAACTCTGAAGCTCCTTGCTCATGGCCGTCGGCATGGAGAAAAGGAAAGACGTTTCGGCCAGCGCGAAGATTGCATGCTCGCAGCCGCCACTTCTGTGCAGCTGCAAGTTTCGTCCGTTTGTTGGCATCGTCTTTTCTGTGCAGTCTCAACCGGTATTTCACGACAGTGGTACTTTGACTTCTCCATAACCTCTACAGCGCGATCGTCTCCTCACCCATGCACCTAGTCGACAATCACCAATCTCCACTCTGTTTTTTGGCTGCTCAGGTCCCCTGCCGCCGCCGCCGCCTCTGCTGCCGCTGCCGCCGCAGTATTGGGCGCGGCCCCGGTGGGCGGCCACAACAACGCGGCCAACCAGGCGCCCATCTTTGCGCAGTTCATTGACTGTGTGGCGCAGCTGCTGCGGCTGTACCCGCGCGCCTTCGAGTTCAGCGCGGCCTTCCTGGTGGACCTGCTCGACTGCGTGCACTCGTGCCGCTTCGCCGACTTCGTGTGCAACAGCGAGGCCGAGCGCGTGCTCCTCGCCACGCACCAGCTGCCGGCCGCCTGGGACGCGCTCGCCGACAAGCGCTCCTCCGCCAAGGGCCACGCGCACCGCAACCCCTTCGCGGCCGACCGTGAGCCCCCGCCCCCTGCCAACGACGTGCTTCGTGTGCTAGGTGGAAAACGAAAGACTGCCTTAATATGTTGGCTTCTTTATCAGCACCGTCAGAGTTTCCTCCACCTCCTTAGCACCCGTTCCTTAGACTCCCCTTCTCCCCAACGCGTCCTCTGAGGTCAGACTGACGAACCAATCTCTTCGCTGTGGTTTGACCCGCTTGTCCGTGCCGCGTGCAGGGTACACGGGTCCGCTGTCCCCCGCCCCGGCGTCGCTGGTGCCCACGCTGTGGGCGCGCTACTTTTTGCGGTGGCAGGACCAGGGCCGCGCCGACCTGGGCCCCGGCCAGCTGGCGGCGCTGGACCCGGTGGAAGGGCTGGCCACACAGTTCGAGGTCGCGCTGCTAACCAACAAGAAGGTCAGGATGACCTTGTATTGGTTTCCTTGTGACCAGAGTGTGCGGCGATAGCAGTGGTTATAAGTGAAAGGGTAAAGGGACCACGTAAGGGGGGCGTGAGCAGGTCTCAGCACTAAGCAGTGTTTCTGCTGCTTATGCTCATGAAACGAGGAAGTGGCCCAGATCGCAGTCCTGTCGACCTTCACTGGTGTTCTGCAATTGGTTGACATACTTCGCCGGTTCGCTTGCTGAAGCTCGCGGATGCCTCTCATAAACGCCGTTCCCCCGTTCAGGCCCGCAAGGAGGCGGAGGCGCGCGCGCACGCAGCGGCGGCGCGGGTACTGGACCTTGAGGCGAGCCTGCGGGAAGAGACGGTGCGGCGGCGGCAGGCCGAGACGGCCGCCAGGCGGGCGCAGAGAGAAGTGAAGGCCATGCGGCAAGTGATGGCGACCATGGGCTGCCAGTGCAGGTGAGGAGGGCAAGCGGCGGGCAGCCCGAGAGAACGAGGGCCGTTAGTGGAGAGGGGGCAGGCCCCAGCAGCGGAGGGGGGCGACAGGGCCTTCCCATACTGTTGGCCTGCAAAAGGTCGTCCGTTGCTGAGACAGGCCAGCTGCCCGGGAATACGAACTGTCAGGCGATAGCTCTGCTGGACCTGAATGCTACAAGATGATTATGACAGCAGTGTCGCTTGTTTAAGAAAGCCTGACCGCAGTCTTTCTGCGTGGCCTCCCAGGGTGTCCCGCGAGAACTTCGGCACTGCGAGTTGGGAGGAGAGCGAGCGCGGGTCGGTGGACGACGGGGACGCGGGGTCGTCGTACCACTACGTGCACCACGACGCCGGCAGCGGGCCCACCGACGTGAGCGCACCTTGGGGCTTGCGCTCTGAGCGAACGGAAGGCGAATCTGGTTGAGGGGGTCCGATGGAAAGCGGGGCTCTAGACAACCTCTTGATGGCGACTTATAGTTGTGAATGTGATGATTGTTCTCCTTGGTATTGGTTTCGTGGACCTCACGCTGGCTGGCCTGCCTCGGGGTGCAGGAGCCGTTGTCGGTGTCGGTGACTGCCCTGGACGACAGCAGCGACGAGGGGTCGTGTACCGGGAGCCACCGCACGCAGTTCCTGTCCAGCTGGCACAGCAGCGACTGCAGCTGGAGAGCGGCGCGAGGGAGCTGCTCGCGGGCTGGCAGCGACTTTGCGGGATTGAAAGTGGATTACGACGCGTTTAGAGCAGTGCCAATCGTGCCAAGTTACTTTGGTAGAGATCGTTCTGTAGATAACCTGGACCATGGATAGAAGTCGCAAGTTGTCTGAACGCTCCTCAAAGAGCACGTGAGATACATGTCGGTGATGCTCTGCTTTGCTCGACTGACATCGTGTGGTGCGGCAGCAGCCCAGAGCGCCAACAAGTCTGCAGACAGAGATCCTCGATGGTCGCCTGGCCGCCGAGTCTAGCTTGATCAACTCAGCTCGCTTAGTAACTCTGGTCCCATCCAAGGTACCGGCCACGCGGGGATGTGTAGTGTCAACATCTAATCCAAACTCGAAGAAGCATCCGGCTGCTGCTTTGTACAGTCATTGAAATCGCTTGAGAAGATTTCCGGAAGCAAACGGGCAGTTCATCATCAGCCCAAACAATTGATTCCATCAAACCATGGTACTAAGTCAGTAGCTTTTACACAGGTGCCAGCCACTGGCCGGGGCGGCCCTGATTCGGGAGTTTACGCTGACTCGCATGCAACCGCAACCCATCGGTTCCTCAGGGAGTGAATTCAGTATGCACCCTTATTTATGGCACTGGAGGTGCGCATTCTTGCACTCTTGTCATTATGTTCATGCAACGTCCGCGGACTTGGGGTGGGCTGCTTTATTCAACATAAGATTTTGTGCCATGTGTACACATATACTTGAGCGGTGACTAGCCGGGGTTTCTGTACGGTCATGCATGCAGATCTGCAACCTTAGGCCCTGCACATGACGTGCCGCGGACCATCCGATGCGATCCTGGCCGGCCGGCATGGGCCCGGGCGGCGCACGCGATAGCCGACATGATCTACAACCGGTACCGCAAGGGCAAGGACAAGGAGAAGTCATCTAATCGGCGACGCATATTCAAGTGTCAGGCTAGGCTAGCTCGGGCAATGTAACACGCACGACCGAGTAGCGTAATTCGATCCGATCACTTCGTCGCATTAGAACATTTGCATTGCATAACCATGATGCTTCTCATGCCTACCATGTTAGATTGAATGCTTGTTAGCGTACATGTAGGTTAGGCTTTGCAGATCGATCGCTGGACATGACTGGCAGCCATAGCAAGCTGCGGGGTCAACAAACTATCCCGGGTATGCCGGAGACCGTGCTCCATGGCCATGGTGGCTAAGGACGTTAATAATTTAGAAGTTACCATCATATTATATGCATGTCCATCATGAAGTATATACCGGAGTACGTGTTAATTCTGCAATCTGATCCATGCCGATCCATTTACTTGCATTGATCGATATCTTAGCAAACATTGCTGTACGTTATAAGCCAAATTATAGCTATAGTATTACTTTAGTATAAACCGCGCGGGCTGCGCGCGTATACTAGATATCAAGCTCGCGATCGCAAGTCCGATCATCGGTTCAGCATGTGCCACATGTGCAAACAAAGTTTTAGTGGCGAAAAACTTAACTTCATGTCGAGTCTGTGTACATGTCAATGCCGCCGGGCTGCCCGGCCGGGTGCATTATGCCGGCATCGAGTCCGGTCACATGCAACAAGCTAGAACTTTACGTTTCCAGCCATCTTCAATGTCGGGAGCTCTGCGCCACATCGGTCGAAATTAGCTGGGCCCAGGCCTATAGCACAGCTAGTGGCATATTCGGTTTGCATGCGAGTCAGTTGACAACGGGAGGCTCCAGGAATCTTGTCAGCTGCATGCCAAGCAGCCCCCGCGGAGGACAATTTTGGTGAGTGTCGGATCGGTCTGTAGCGTTGTCTATGCTCAACGAGCAGTCTTTGTAAAACATTGTTGAACTCCCGCATAAGCAGCCGCAACTCCATGAAAAACTGCAAATCCCAATTTTAGAGTCACAAAACTTGACTGGTCCAGGCTCGCTCAGCCAAGGACCAAGGTACTGAGACCTATCATGGGTTGACTCGGATCGATTATCGCTAATTAACTTGTAAAGGAACTGAGCTTCGCGAAATGCTCTCGCCTGGTGTGATCTCTTACTTCAATCTTTATTAGCATCCCTCCACATGCAATCCAGATCATTCTTGCGTTTAATCATCTTGCTCAAGAACCGGAAGACGGTATTGTAGACTGATTGAGTCGTCGGTCAAGCGTGTCCCCGGTGCAAAATATTGGAACATCATTAGCAGGCACGCGTTTCCAGGGGCAACACCTGCACACGTACGACTCTGCGTCAATGGGGTGGTATGCCAGTCCAGAACGTTGCGGGATGAGATCAAATTGAGTCCGCCACTGCCCTGGCTTTCGCGTTTGCTGCCAGTCCTCAAGGACAAGCCGGAGACTGCATATCAATAGGACCAGGATACAGGGCAGCAGAGGAATGGTTACCTTGCTTAAAAAGAAAGAACGGCACCCCACCGTATTCTCGACCAATAGAGCTTCCAGTGAAACTCACCAGATTCTAACTCGTGTACTCTTACTCACTGTTCTTGTGCACTTTGTTCAAAGAATTGCAGTCTCCCAGAGGAACGACCGCTCACAACAGAGACCACCAAATTCTCCTGTCCTCTTCGACTTTGTCCTAGCATGCTGCTCGTGTCATTACAGGCAATTGTAGAATGCGAAGTTTCCAGCCACATTTCTTGCTCGAGGCTCCAAGGAACATTCTCGGAGCTCTTTTTCTTGAGCTTGAGCTTTGACTCACCACAGTAGCACGCATCGGGCTTCGTCAAATGACACTGCAGACTTCGTACAAAGTGCTTCATGTTGACCTTCTGCAAAGACCGACCAACGTCCCAGTCATTATGAGACTTGAGAATGCCAAGCTGATCAGAGAATTAGAGGACGGGCGCAGAAGGTGGCAGAGCGGCGTATTATTGTCTGGACAACCTGAAGCTGTTTTGGAGGGAGGCTCTATGGCAGCGCATACCACGACGGAAGCCTCCCCTTGTTCCAAGGCCCTTTGCAAGCGCGCACTTCCTTCAACCGTGTCGTCAACCGGGGCTGCAGCTCCTGCAAAAGGACAGCCCGGGTTGATGGGCAGTCACATGAGAGTATCAGGAAATTGGCGAGGGTTTCCCTAAAGGAGCGCATGCTCCCTGCGGATGTGCTTTGGTCATATCACTCTCAGGAGTGTATCGCGCGACAATTCAAGTTTCTCGGGTTTCACGGTTAGGCAGACTGTTCCGAGGAGTGAGCGCCAACCGTCCGTTAGTACATTTACCGGCGTCCCTGAGGGGCGCACAGTCCCCCACAATTTCGAGGGCGAATTCTGGGGGACAAATCATTGATTTCAGTCCCGGAGGGACGGTACGCTCCAGAAATGCTCATATGTAACCGCCCTATGAGCTCAGGCATGACACGGGACCCTTCAAAAGCTCGCCCTGAGCCGCATCGAGAAGGGCATGGGCAATCTTCGGACGATGCCCTCAGTGACAACTCGACAGCGACAACTTAACAAGAAACGACCGGGAGTGTTATATGAAATAAAAGCGAGATGGGAACGAACGAAATGGACGGCAGTTTGCAGAGGGCATGGAACGCAGGGACCGGCGGCGGCCAGCCAGATCAGGCAACCAGAGTGTGGCCCCGAGCATTGGCATCAAACCGACAACTTCAACATGGATAAAGCGCGACGTAGAGCCATTGATTGTTCTCAGCGCAACAGTGTCACGATTATACAACAGATGTACGCCACGAAGTGCTTTCCATTGGGTCGATTGTCTCGTACAGACAAGCTATTCCGGGTCCGCAACCTCCTCCACTCCTTGCTCAACCAAGGTCTTGTCAGGGACTCAACCGCAGAAGCACGTCCCAGCACAGCCAGGCCAGTGTGATGAGGCCCACCTCGAATCCCCAGCACGCGCAGGTGCCGGAACTGTGTCCCGATGGAGACAAAAGCGGTGATGACGCGCAGGAAGAGGTCCCCCGCCTGGGTGAGCCCCACGTCCAGCACCTCCCCCACCGCCTTCAGCCGCTCCACCAGCGCCTGCAGCGCCACCAGGTCGGGCAGCCCCACCAGCGTCTGCGCACAAAGACGGTCGGGCCGCTTGAGCCACTCTTGAGGGAAAGAGAGGACGGGCCTAAAAGCGGGCACGCTACTGTAATCAACACTGGGATACAAATGGAGCGAGTGGCTTCAACACTGTTGCTTTTGTCCAGACAATCCATAATTTGCAACTTGAGCCTAGAGAGTCACCTCAGGGAGAGCAGAAAGACAACAAAAGTTATATCTTGTGAGAGAGCGTCAGAAAAAGGTTTGATTGACCTGCTCAATCGGTGAAGTCAGGAGACGAGAAAGCCATGAAAGAGCGATGAAGATCCATAAAACTGACTGGTGGCAAATCTTGAACAGCATCCAGGGCCGCCTGCAGGTCCGCCACATCGGCTCGGGAAAGGGGAGGAGAGATGGGAACGTCTTGGAGGATAGCGCTTCGGTAGCCCTGCACAAAGCCAACGGCAGAGGGCTCAGGGCACCGTGGCGATGTGGTGTCAAGAAGGAGAAAGAAGTGCACCGAAAACCATGGCATCCGAATCGCGGTAGTGCATCCAAATAGAAGAACAGGGTCACAGGGGTCTGTCTATAGGATAAGCAGATGTTATGTTCACATTTAAGTTTGGAAGTGAAGGCCTACAAGTGATTTCTTGCAGAAGAGGAGACTGTGGCTTAAAGGAGACTCTGGCTTCCCGCACCTTGCTTTCGAAGGTGAGAAACGGCATGGACTTTTCTGTGAGGCTGGCCCGCTTCTTGACCAGCTTCACCTGGAGCTTGTCTCCATCCATCGCAACACTGCTGCGCAGAGCACGCAGGAGGAGGGACAGGTCCACCTGGAATGCAATGCAGTCATTGTTCTGACTGCTGATGCGGTAGTCATCGAAGATTGCGTCCTGCAGGGGCAGAGAAGAGCCACGCAAGTGGGGCATGAGTAAAATGGAGCATGCAAATTGCAACTTTCTAACAGGTGCAAGTCTGGTTCAGCAACAATGTCAGGGGTTCAAGGGAAGTTCTGCTTGAAAGAGGATGGTTCCTGGGGGCGGCCCTGACGAATGGGGGTAAGAGACAGGCCGCTGGAAGGAACTAGCATACACACCTTGGCAAGCTGCGCAATGGCTTGCACGCCATCTGAGTTGAGAACGTTGTGTAACAGGATGACATGATCCCGGGTCAAGTAGACATGGCATGTCTTTCCAATCTTTTCAAAAGCGGGTACAAATCCTGCACAACCACCACAGATAGTGTGACCTTTTTCCAACCAACATGTTAGATTGAAGTCCTACGACGTGATCAGAACGACAAATGACTGCCATCAATCAGATAGATAGAGAGAAGCCTGTACATTCTTGCTAGAGTCCGAGAGTCCCAACTTCAGCTGTTGGAGATCCCAAATGGTCATTGTGGGGCAAAAGGTGACCAGACAGCAAGATTGACAATCTGTCACATATACTCACGCTTCTCTAAGATATTTACGCCTCGATCAGTGAAGGCAGCCTTAAACTTCATTATTTGACACCTCAGGCTCCTGGAGATGACAGTTCGGCACCCTGACTTCAAACTTTTGCATGTCCTGAAAAGGGTGCATTCAGTGCCCCCCAGCTTTGTAACACCTGGCAGTGGTGCAGTTACAACTCACAGTCTGCCCTTTCCTTCTGCTGGGGCGCATAAGTTGCTGCCAAAGAGCATTTTTTGCCGTTTTGGATATCAAAGTGATGCAATTGCAACCACTTTCTTTCATTCTAGGTATGCAGAGGATGCACAGCTTGCAAAGTTACGTGATTGCAGAAACCCTTATGAAAAGCTTGTAAGCACACAAAAGGAGCAAATGCATCTTTTTTGGCTGGTATGCTGATGCAATGTGGCACCACTGTGATCCTGTAAGAATCAGATAATGCTGGCATGAGCCTGCTGCCTAGAGCCTGGTCGAGGGGCATGGACGCCACGATTGTGCAGCTCAGAGTTACAACTGTAGAGTCACACTCAGACTAGCTAGTCAGAGTCAGACTCAGACTCAGAGTCAGAGTCAGAGTCAGACTCGCCCCAGTGCTAAATTAGGGTTTCGCAAGCTCTCGTGCCCCCGTGCTCTCACGCTCGTGCTCTCGTTGCCCAGCTCAGAACTGACAGAAGACGGAGACGGTTCTCTCTGGCGACGTGGGGCAAAGGCGGGCGCAAGGGCGGGCTCACGCATTTGCCGTGAGAACAGGCTTGGCACGGGCTGCAGCTGATTGCGGCCATCCTGAACGCAGGTGAATATCTATCAGTACCTCGGCTCGTAGCGCTTTTCATGAAGCATGCGGATCAATCTGCCTCCAGCAAATGAGGTTACCTAAGAGGTGATGTTGGCTCTAACGGATCATTATTCGGTGTTTCCCTTCAGGGTCTCAGGAAGATGTGGCTTAAGCTTGGATAAGGCCCTCACGGTTTCTTGATAAAATTTCCACACAACTTGTATGCACCTTGCAACTTGCTGCAGGAAGCAGGACAACATTGGCAGTGGGATACGTAGCCCGGGAGGTTTTGCATAGCGCTTGGTGCGTTGACCTAAACCTTTGTCAGTGTCAGTATCATCAGAACCCTTATCTGTAAGTTACTCTGGTCCAAAACCTGGGAGTATAAGCTTTCCCATCAGTATTGTGGTGCAGCTGGGATTGGTCAACAGCATTTTCTGATCCACGCCCCTTTTGAAGCAGCAGGAGGGATACTTGTCGGGACACGATGTTCCGCTCTCATCGAGATGATCGCTTACGGAGGCATAGTCGAAGCCCCGTCCGCCGCGAAAGGATTGACGAGCGCACGCGGGAATACGAGCGTCCAAGTCGCCGGAGCCGAAGCCGGAGCAGAAGCAGGAGCAGAGACCGAGCTCCAAGCCGCCGGTAATTGTCTTGATGGTCCTGGGAATCCTAAGCAGAGAGATGCATATATGTGACCTTTCTTACAAGTGCGGATGCAATCCTAGCTTGTCTGTGTGCATGGCCTTGTTTCCGCCATGTTATGAAAGATTGTTGTTTCAGCTTGCAATCAAATGCTACGAGCTACTCGTAAGTGGTGGTCATTTTGTGTCACCCTACGACATGCTGCTCTTGTTGATCTGAGTGTGGTTGCATCGGAAGACCTCTGATGATCATCAAGCATGGCGCAGCCCATGCTTGGTTTGATTGTCGGTTTATGTTCGTATTTTGGATGTTGCAGCCTTGTGTCACCTAGTGCTGGCCTGTTCATCAATCTTACACTGACAAGCTTCTTTCCAGCCTGCATTCCTGTGGTTTGCTGCTCCTGCAACCTTTTGACCCCTGTGCAGGCATGGGGACCGCAGCCGCAGCAGAGAGCGCGGCTATGACCACTCGTACGGGCGTGTGGAGCGGGACAGGGAGGCAGAGTATGACCAGTACGCGGCTTTTGGGGGCTACGGTTATGCCGGCTATGGCATGTACCCTGCAGCGCCGTATGGGGGGCCGGTGCCAGGCTTGCTGGGCGACTCATGCTTTGTGTGTGGCGGGATCGGGCACATTGCTCTGGACTGCCCCAGCCGGGAGACGCTGCAGCGCGGACGGGTGGGGGTCGCCAGGATGAGCCGGGAGCGGGAAGTGGAGAAGTGCTTCGAATGCGGGAAGCAGGGGCATCAAGCAAGAGAGGTGAGGCGGGGACGCGGAAAGAGGGGCTCTGGGCTGCACCCTCAAGTGCTGCGGTGTCAAGGGGGCTCCTGCTGTTAGGAGGCACTCCTCTCCTAGTGTTATGGAGATGATCGTTGATCGTAAATGTGGGGGTCGGGCAGAACGGTGACACTTGGTGGGCATTGGGCCAGGTGAGTTTTTGGGGTAGAAGTTGCAGCACCCCACCTGATCGAAGGATGCGGGCAGTCTGTGGCAAAACTGGTGGTGCCTGCCTGCAACGAGGGTGGCCACGCAGCACTGACGGAAAGAGGGCTCAGCAGATTTCCTGGGAGCTCGCGATGGGTCCGGGGTCGGTTGAGGCTTTTGTTGCCGAGGCGTGTGGAATCGGTATAGTCTGGGGAGAGTGGGGGCTGTGAGAAAGGGTGCCAGTCACGGGCCTGCAGCCGGCCTGGATCAGACTTCCCAAGCGCTTCAATTGAGCCGGTACGAGGACACAGAGCGAACTGACCCATCACCGCTTGTGATTCGAAGATGTTCTGTGTACTTCCCTCTGGACTAACCTGCAAGAGTCTCAGCTGATGCAATTAGCTTTCAGATATGTCACTCTCTATCACTCTAATCTAGCCTCCTAGGAAGCTCCCTAACGTACTGAGCGCTATACAGCTTTTGCTGTTTCAAGCGACTCTTGTTCAAGTTAGCCTTCTCCTGCATCTTCGCAAAAAGACGCCTCTGCCGCTTTTTGCAGTGTCCGTTTGCCAAGACAGTCCATGAGAACGGCGCCCCCGTCCCCCGCTGCTACACCTGTAACGCTGTGGGCCACATTGCACGGGACTGCCCCCAGCTTACCCCTCCTGCCCGCAACCGCAGTCCCCCTCCTCGTCGTGCGGACCGAGTCCCTGATGAGGATGACAGACCGCGACGGGATCGGGAGAGAGCAGCCGACAGGTCCCCCAAAAGAGAGCGCTCACCTGAGCGGCGCCGGTCGTCCCTTCCTCCGCCTCCTCCCCCTCCCCTCGGTCGCCCAGGTGGAAGCGAACTCGGGTGCTTCATCTGCCATGCGACGGGGCACTTCGCCCGAGATTGTCCGGAGAGGGGCGGCCCCAAGGACCCCCGGGCTGACGACTACATTCGCAGCAGAGGGTATGGTCTTGGCGTGGGTCCTGGCATGGTGGGCCCCAGCCTGGCGTATGCAGCAGCGTACAGGCCGTCGGCCATCCCCGTTACTAAGCCCCGCCGCGGTGAGGCGGTCTGCTACGAGTGCGGGCAGGTCGGACACTTCGGCAGGGAGGTACGTGGCTCTATCGACCTGTTTCATACGTATCGGTGTGCAGCATAAGGGTCTTGTCGAGGTGGTGGTGACTGGTGCAGGGCTCTGCTCGAGGGCTGACATCTCCAGCCTGAAATTTTTTGGGTCAGGTTAGGGCACGTGCAAAGATCCGCCTTGGCTCGCCACTTGTGGTTCAGGCAGAGTTCGTGTTCGGTGCTGATGGCGCAGTCACCTGGCCTTCGCTTACGGGGCCCAACATAATCATGGGGATAACAATATAGACGAGCAGCTTTTGCTAGTACGCACTGTGACTTGGAAAGCGCCCTTTGAAGTCATAGTCGTCAACACAGTAGTGTCTCCTGGAATCCACAAGCTATCAGTTTCAGAACTCCACAACACTTTGGCAGACAAGTCCGGTAGAAGAACACCCATTGCATCATTGACTGCCTAAGCTTCCGCTCTCCTTTTTATGTTGACCTCAATGTCCCTGTCAGCTTTTGCGGTAAGCATTGACACGGCTTTTGTTGCTCCTTGGCAGTGTCCTGTACGGCTGGCTAACCATGGCCGGAGGGGCGATTACAGGTTTAGTAGGGAAGATCGGGAGGAAAGGATGGAGCGAAGATTTGACGAGGACCGTAAGGAGGCTGCCCTTAACAATGATTTGGAAGACTACATGAAAGCAAAGCCTGCAAAGGAGAGAGATCATAATGGTGGTGATAGGGCTGAGCGGGATGGGAGTGAGGCTCGGGAACGAGAACCAAGCATGGGTGGTTCTCGAGAGGGCAGCAGTGAGCGCAAAAGAGATGGGAGCATGGAGCGCAGGGGTGAGAATTGATGGGACGAATGAAGGTGCAAATCACTATGGGTACGAGGAGCTACCATTGGCAGATTATGTGCGCTAGTGGTGAGCTTGATTGCAATCATCTGGGCGGGTCTGAGCACAAGTGTCACACTCCAGAGCAGTGGTGGAACTTGGCAGGGTCGGATGAGCCACCGAACCAAGATATTGAAGCACTTTTTATTCACATTCTAAGAAGTTTCTCAGGCTGCTGCAGAAGCCGTGTCGTTCTGATAATCTTGGAAGGCGGACCGACTGTCTGACATGTTCTTTGGAACTAAAGTGGTGAGATTGGTGCATGTTCGGCTCTGCCATTCATGTTATCAAATGCATGTCGGGTGTACGTTGATATGTTATATTCAATACCAACTCTCCTCTACATATCGATGCCAGTACGTAGCATCCTAGTCCGCGCGCATATGCCGTCTGATGTCTGGCACGTGAAGCTAGTACTTGCATGAGAATCATGTAAATCGGATTTACTACATATACACATGATCGTTTGTTTCAATCATGCATAGGGTGCAACACTGCACAATCGATCAATCAGAGTTCCTGGTCTTCCAAAATAAGTTAGACCAAGCCATCGCGCAGGGCTTCATGCACTTGGACATGCCACATTCAGATTGTCCGTGCACGCGAAAAGAACAGTAAAGTATTACGATAACATGCTGCATCTGAGTGACACCGTGTATCACTGATCTATGTCTATGAAAGCTTGTAACATGTATGCTGATTTTCTTCACAGGTTAAGATGGAGGGTAACTGCACTGCCAAACTTGAAAGTACATGTTTAAAAATACGAGAGTCATCAAGCAGAGTGTGAAAGTGACGAACTACTAAGTTAGCATGACATAGCCTGATTGGTCACTTTGAAATTGGTCGTGACCGGACCCACTAAGTGGTCCGCTGCCTAGCCCAAAAGTCTGCCCATACTTGAGGGAACCTCCAGTCAACAAAGGAAAAGAATGTTTTTGTGAGCATGCTATGCTCGTGACGGGCCATGATTACAAAGAGAGTGCTTGAACACCACAGTGTTCCGGTGTTTCTGCTTACTTGCGTAAGCTATGATGGACCAGAAGTCGGTTGCTGGCTTTGGTATGGATTCCCACTCTGAGGAGGAGCAAACTGCAAATTTGAGGGGCCAAAGTCAGTAAAACATGTGATCGAACCCTCAAGAGCGCGTGCGCATCCAAGTTCTAATCTTCTATCCCCAAGGTGCTTCCCCTCAGCTACAGTCATTAGTTTGGAAGCCGTCCTATCAGCTAGACTCAAACGGAGTTCTTCAGTACAACATACCAAGACGAGTTTGCTGAAAGTTTTGGTCAACCCCAATTATGCAAATAATGCACCTGAAACACTTGCCTGAGTTCCATACGTTGGTCCGCCATATCCGGGTTGCATCGCCTGCAGTGCAAGCACTGGTTTTAGACTTCTTTGTTCAACCATTTTTTTCTAATTTAACTCATTAGTGTTTAACGCTGGTTTCGCGCCACAAATCCATAAAAGGTGCCTCTCAAAATAGGGCTGGTATAGAAGTTGCACAAAATCCAAGATAGGTTAAAGCAATGCTTTCTGAGAGCACTTTTACTGACTGTCAAGTCATGCCTTCATAAAACAGAAAAGCATAACCGCATTGGCTTGGTCCTGATGGAAAGAGACTGCCACCTGATGATATGAGCCCATTTGGACATTCTCCTTTCTGCCCATGTCACCTCCACCTTGCTTGGCTAACGACGCCTTCTCACCCTGCAGAGGACGCACAGAGTGATGAAGACAAAAGAGCATAGCATATAGATGCAGGAAAAGGGCGCAGGCTGTCCTATCACTTGAACCAAATGGCAGACCACACCGGAATATCGTGAAGCTTCAGGCAGGGAGCAATCGGAGGCAATGCAACAAGTGCGTCCAGAAGCTCACCTCAGTCTGTCAGCAAGGGACGCCATCATGCAAGACACGTAGGGGCAAGAGGTCAATGATACAAACATGTAATATTTTGAGGCCTAGAAGCAAAGATTCTTCAAGGTGCACCAAGTGCCATTTCGATAATTGCAGCACACATTTCAAGCTCTCTGGTGGAGATTCAAGCATTGCTATGCAGACACGAGCACCTTGAGTGTGATTCGGCCACCTCACCTCTCTGTACTTGTGTAGGTACACTTTGAGCGGCTCCACATAGTCCTCAAAGCCAAGCGTGCTCATTGCCCACAAAAGATCGTCGCCGTTGATGGTCTTCCGCTTTTCTCGCTGGCACTTGTCACTTGCTCTGGGTGGGTCAGCAAGGTCAAGGAAGAATCAAGATGAACAAGAGAGGGCCTCAAATGACAGCATAGGCAGTAAAGCAAGGAGCTAGCATTGACAATCTGATACAAGGAGAATAGAATGCTCAACATGTATTCTACGGTGTCTGTTGCAGGATACTCGCTTGTGATGAAGCTGATGAACTCGCTGACGCACTCCTGCACAGTCTCCTTGGCATCCTTGGCCACCTTGCCATTGCTTGGCAAAGCCCGCTTCATGATGCGGCCAATGTTGGCAATTGGGAGAAAGCGGTCCTGCTCCCTGATGGACGAGCCATCGTTGCCCTGCTGCATATACTCTCCACCTTCCCCAGGACTCCCGGGATCACCTGACCCGTTGGCATCTTCAGACATGATGTTCACTTTACTGAGTAAACAAGACTACTTTACTCTTGAACTCTGGGTACAGAAGTCTCAGATTTAGTGATGGTAAAAATAGAGGGATTTTGACATCCAGTAAGTGATGCACTGCCAGCCAATGAAGCTCTTGTTCCGAGCGTTTTGAAGCCCTCTAATGCCTCCTAGTATCAACTTCTCAGCTAGCTGAGGATGGAAAACAGGGGTATCACTTTATTGGAATCCTTGGCGCATTCCAGAATGCCGCCTAAGGAAGGATACAGTGATAATTTTCAGCTTGTCCGAAGTGCCGCGTCCTTTCTAGGTGGACCCTCCTCCTGAAGCTGAAACAGTGAAAGCAACCACGTAGAAAGCAAGCACGCAGGCTCCAGCCCCAATGGTGCTCGTGTGTTGTGGCCCGTGGGTCCTGCTTCAGAGTGAGGGCGCACAAATTTGAACACAGCATGCGAACGGAAAACGAGTCCTGGTCCGGTTATCCTAGAGGTCGGGGTCGGCGAGAAACCCGCAAAGTGGAGAAATGCACCGTCGGATGACAATTGTGTGGGTGATGGACTGCTCAGATAACGCTGATTCTCGGCCCTCAAAGTTGACCGAGCGCACCTCAGCGCTGTTGCCAGGCTTGCTCAATGCTGAGGCTTGAATCATGCACAAGAAGACAAGGAACAGAATTTGAACAGAGGGACTCCAGCTGCCACAATTCGAAAGCCAACGTTGGGCCATACGGTATGCAAAAGGGCGCACAACCTTGGCTGGAAGTCGACATGGTATCAAACCGCATACAAGGCTCCTACGAGCTTAATTGAAGCTCACGGGGAGAGCCGTGAGCTGCATTTCTCAGCTGCCAATCCGCAGCCTGCCAGGTTGTGTTTACTTTGTCCATAGACACGTTGGAAAGTTTCACATTGCTGGGCGTCTAAGGCTTGGTTGGTAGTGTCATCATCATAAGTCCGGACCTCGATAGACAGATGCTCCAGATCGCAGAGAGTCCATGAGAGCCATGGTATGACTGGTAACATGAGCCAGGGGCGTGCCTTGACCCATGGGCATGTTGGCGCGCCAGGCAGAGATGTGGGACAAAAGAGCCAACACGAGCCCCTTGAGCACAGTCATGGGCATGGAAGCCCGCAATTAGGCTGTCAAGCACAAGGGAAGAACATGTCATTCGCAACAGGGAGTGTGTCTCCCAGAAAAGAACCGCGTGGGCGAAAACGAAGGTCAAAGTTGTCACAGGTCAGGGTCATCATAACCCTCCCTGATATCTTTCAGGCGGAAGGAGAAGACTGTGCGTGAGAATGCAAAAGTGCATGCAAGATTATGATGGCATTCGAAAGATTTGGCATAGCTAATGAGGGTTTCTTGCTGTGATGCCATTCTTGTCCCTTATTGTGCTCCCGCCATGAAGACACGGCTTCACATTTGCAGCAAATCTTTGTCTTCTTGGTCTCTGCTTAAGAGACCAAATCCAGTCTAACTTTGACTCGTCTTCATGCCTGAGCTTGTGAGACCCTTTGTGAATGTTGTTCCTATATCAAGCATAATGGATCACCATATGATCCTGTGATGTGTGCGCAGATTCTGCTGGGAGATGCCCCCCATGGTGGGTCCACAAGCACCAACGCTGGCCATGGACCCCCCTGCCTCCTGCCCCTTTCTGCGCATCTTCATATGCAGTTGCCGACCAAGCCTGAAGCAGTGTTCCTTTGCCCCTCTTCCAAAGGGCCCAGTGGAGGCCAGGACGCTCCTGCGACGTCCATTGCAGGGCCTCTGCTTCAAGAGAGCCCTTTGGGACTCACTCTCAAGTGAGCAGTGCAGACTTCCGTCTTAGCCGGCTAGCCTGAACTCTTGATCTTATTTTCTAGCTTCGCTGGACACTGTGAGCCTACAGTGCAATCTGTGATCTGGAGTCTGCAAGTGGCTGTAAGAATGGTTTACTTTTTTGATGAGTGCACGCGGCTTTGATGACAATCTCTCGGTCGCGAGAATCTGGCTCAGTTGTGTCTCTTCATGTGCAGAAAAACCCCGTCCCTGCTAGACCTCATCTCCAGTACTCTTGGATCCCGCCCATACGAAGGATGGCGGGGCCACGTGGAACCCCCCCAAGATATGCTGGGTGTCCCGGGCAGGCCCCCAAGGAGCATGCCCACATTCACTGGGATCAGCAGCGGCCCCAGCATGTTTGCTCCAGGGGGTGCCGCAACGCCGGCAGACAAGCTGAAGGCCTCAAACTTCGCTGCCCTTTCTGCAAAGATTGGAACCTGGGAGCGGCACTCACGCTATGAGGGAGACCTGGTGGCCAAGTGAGGCTCCTCCTAAAGCGATGAAGTGGGATTGTATTGCCCCGCTCAAGCATGTGTACTTGGATGGGTGATGTTGTTCAAGTTCTTGGCCTCCAAACTGGCTGTCTGTCTTGTGGGCGGGGTTGCGATTTCACTATGTGATTTTTGCAACGGCGTCCAAAAGCTGGGGCCGCTGGGCAATTCATGCCGCTAGGTTGGGTAGCTGGTTCTCTGATTAAGGAGACAGTCCTTTGTCTCTACAATTGTGCTGCATTCTGGCGACAAGGAGCACGAACACAATCTGAGCGGAGGCCCCCACCCGGCGCAGGTGCTACTTTGCGAAGAAGAAGTTGGTGTGGGAGGTGCTGGAGCAGGGCCTCAAGAGCAAGGTCGAGGTCCAGTGGAGCGACATCAAGCGGATCAAGGCCGTGTGCTCCGACACGGAGCCAAACATCCTGGAGATTGATATCGTCAAGGCCCCCATGTTCTTCCACGAGATGAGCCCGCAGCCGCGCAAGCATACCATCTGGTCCAATGCGCCTGATTTCACGGGGGGACAAGCGACGATAGCCAGGTAGGATAGGGGAGCAAATTCCACCCTATAGACTGCTTCTGTGACATTCCCTGCCATGCTGACCCTGCTAAACCATCCATTGACATAGTGAAAATCGGCTGCGGACAACGTCTCAGCACCAGGACAAATTGGTCACAGCCAGGGGAATCATCGCTGACATTGATGCACTTCCAAATTCCAGATATCGTGGAATCGAGCAGGCAAGGCATCTCGGCATGCTGGAGACAAAATGATGATGCTGAGGGCCATTTTGCAGAAAGAGCGTCTGTTTGTCCAACAAATCTTCCACAAAAGCACAGAAGCTGTGGTCCCTGGAAGCTGGTTCCGGCGCATCCAGAGTCTTCTTGTATGCATCAAATTTGTCTGCGTGTGGGCATGCTTGCCAGGATGACAGACTACCAATGCGGTCATTGACTATTCATTGGTCTTGTGGCTGGCACGCTGACCTTTCGCGGTGGGTGCAGGAAGCACGTGTTGACATTTGCGCCGGGCGTGCTGGAGCCGCACTACAAGAAGCTGCTGCTGTGTGACAGCCGCCTGCGCGCCATCGCAGCCGGCCTGCCTGAGCCGGTGGCCATGCGGCCCCCGCCCCATCACAGGATGCAAGTGCCCAGAGTGAGTGGGAGCGCTGCGCTGTCTTAACCACGCTGGGCAGGCAGCTGGCGCCCCTCTATCTTCCACTGCGTCGTCTTCTGTTAGCTCGATTATGAACCAACAGCACCATCCGAGGCTGATGCCCGCGCTGTACTCGCTGCAGCCGGTGGGCAGTTTCCCGTGCATGCCTACCCCCCGCCACTTCTCAGGACTGCCGGGCAGGCCAAGCGGAGCGGGGCTGCCGGGGCCTGTGCCATGGTCGGGGCTGGTGGACAACATGCAGCGCGTCTTGTTGCAAGAGCGGCCCGGCTCGCCAAGCTCTGGTGAGGGGCGGTGCCATCCAGGGGGAGGCTCATACACAAAATGCTTGTCAGGAGAAGCTATGCAGTGGCAGCCCCTTGTTGCGATCTACGTTTTCTTTTGACCCCTGTGCTGTGCGGTTGCACTTTCACAACGGAGGCTGCTCCTCCGGAAGGCCTTGCTATCTGATGTTGGCCAGTGCGCCTGTCGGTGTCACGTTGCCAGCGGCTGGTGTCCTGTTCGTCCCCTGAATATCTGCTGATCCGATGACCATTTGATTCTGCAGTGATTGGCCGGGGGGATCGACCCTTTGGGGAAGAGAGTGGCAGCTCCGAGGACACGGGCCATCTGCTGCCCCCGCCCGGCATGGGCTTTGTGGACGCCAACTTTGCGAGGGGCTCGGAAGGGGAGGACCACGACGACATGATGCTGGACAGCCCATTTGCGCCCGCTGAGGGGCCGTTCCCCGCGCTCGACTTTGCTCGCTCTCCGCCAGCGGGGCTGTTCCCGGACATGCCGTACGACCTGCCCAGCTCGGAGCTGCTCATGGACGCCGAGATGCAGGCAGCCGGGGAAGCGCTGGACGGGGCCGAGAACGAGGGGGCCGAGGCGCGGGAGAAGGAGGCAGCGGACCAGCTCTCGAGCAGCCAGCCCCAGGGCTTCTCGGTGTTTTCTGAGGGGGGCAGGTTACGCAAGTACGGCTTCTCCTCGAGTGTCCCGTCCCTGGGGTCCGAAATGAGTGCTTTCCACGTGGTTCGCGCAGGGCCGAAAGCGTTGCGTAGTGTTTATGGCAGGTCGCCCCCAGGCCCTAGCGTACTACACGATCTTGACAGCCAAGTGGGCAGCCGGGACTCTCTGCCAGGCTTTGGGGTGCCGGCTGTGCACCCACCTTTAGGCGGGGGAGCTGCCTCTGCTGGTGCATGGCGGCCAGAGCAGGAGTCAATTCACTATTTGCGAAGAATGGAGGGCCTTTGAAATCGACGCGCTCTGCCAGGAGCCTGTCGTGAACGGGTGAAGCAAATGCAGCAGGAAGCAGCCAGGCACAGGAGTAGCGGCCCTCTCAATCTGATCGGGCAATGTAAACTGTTGTATGGTACACTGCGCAATGACGTTGCGCTGCTGAGTGTACACGTCAAGCGTCCTACTGAAAAGAAACTCAGGTTTTCATAAGCTCAAAGTAGTGCACGGGTTTGGTAGATTGCAATAGGCTTCAGGTAAATGTTTGCAATAGAAATCATTAGGCCGATTGAAACGACAATCAGACTAGCTTATGATCTTGTGTGAGCCGTGTTTGGCAGTGTGAGCAGGCCTGTGAGCCGCCAGCATTTGCGTGAGACCAAGTAGGATTACGAATGTAGAAAGGACCCTGTATTCGATGTACATTACTTTAGCCGAGTACTGTTCAAGCGTGCAAGCAAATCCGCTCTTTTAAGTATAGGATCCTAGGGTTTGAACACCTGCAGCATGCCAGGAGCTCGGCAAATGCGAGGCGGTCCGTAAATTAAGTTTTGAATTCTGGCTTACAAACGGGCCAAGAAACGATCTTTCGCGATTCACTTGACGCACCACAACTAGATGGCTACAGTAGTTAATATATCCTCATTCAAAGCATTCAATAAGTTGAGGGTTAGCGACTTGATGCAGCTACATATTATGACTTTATTAGGCCTTATCAATTTGCAGATGTTGAGCAAATTATGATGATCCTACAACTCAACCGCGCGCACTATAGTAGGCGCATCATGCACTCCATGATGGCATGAGCTAGTGACCGGCGGCCCCGGCTAGCTATTTCTTAGCATGAGATCGTCCGGCCGCGGGCCGCCCAGCATGATACATATCATTATGACCATGCATATGTGGCTAGCCTGGTATACCGTATATGTGCACCCGGCAGATTTGATCGAATTCCATGGATTATTTTCGAACTTAGCATGGGTCCGACTGCATATACGTCTCTTGTCAAACATGTAACACCGCGCGCGCTCGATCAGGGCGCACGCATTTCTTTGAACGGAAATAATCTAGCTTCACCAGGCAGCCCTCGTTTGTATAGGCCGGGGATTCGGAGTCGTCGATTGATACAACTATATATGGTTTTCAATCAACAATTTCACATGTGTGGAACCGGTAAGCAAGACGGGTTCAATAGGCATGGGCTTGGCACGCATCCGAAATCAAGCCTGTGGGTTTTGCCGGAATATTCCATTGATGATCATGTAAGATGTTCTGAAATCATGAAGGGTGCATCCATGCTCGGCATATCATTATGCAGGCACTGACAATCATCATTGGCAAAACATGCATTCAATGCAGCGAGAAACATTCCCATGTCCCATGCAAAAGTGGAACTGCTTATGTGCACGATGTATGCACAAGCTCTGAGGCAGCACAACTTATGTGCTTTGCACTATACAGAGTCTTTTGTCCGCTGGTTATATTGTCTGTGCCAGGATCAACTTTTCAGGATCAAAGCTACCTCACTCTTTAGCAAAACTGCCACCCATTATGAAATCTGGAGCACGAAAGTGCTTGCCATACGGACCTATCTGAGAGAGCATAATTACATGGAAGTACCCATGCTCGAGCCCACAAACATCCCCTCGCAGAGGCTTGCAGCAGGCCTTGCTGCAAGTACCTTCTTACGAACTCTGACAACGTCATCTCCTCGAATGTGGTAAAGTGTTTAGGGGCGTGCTCAGCTGCTTGAGGAAGAACTCGAAATCCGGATGATGTATGTTGCGCTTGTCCAGCCAAGACCTGGCTGCTTCTCGCATCACCTCCTCGTTCATGCTGGTTGCCAACTTCCCGCCGCGCCCGCTGGACCTGGAACATACACAAGTGATCTCAAATCAACAATTGTAAGACTTTCGAAGCCTAGACCTGCTAGTGCTTGCACACAGAGCAAGAACCCAAACAGAAACTTTCAGAAAAGTAAGGAAGAATGGACAAGCACCAAGTACAGCTCGGAAGTGTGAGGACGACTGATTGCGGCGCCGAGCTCACCAGACCGCTCCTTTCATTTTATAGGCCACCATCCCAAACGGCAGCAGAACGTGTTGCTGTCCTCCGGAGCTGGATTGGGCCTGCAGCATCTCCTCCCTTTCCTCACGCGCATCTGCCGCTGCAGGTGTCAGGACGGGAGGAGCAGGGGGCCACGCTTGGCAGCTTGCGATGCCCTGGCTGGCAGCTGCAATGAGAAACAGAACCATCTGAGCGACTGCAACGCTTTCAAAAGACTCAGGACCAATGAGCGTGTTCCAAATATTTGGGGCAGTGCCGGACGCAGTCAGGGGCTGCATGGGTGACATCGCCAAGGTGTTCAACCAGAGGGCTGCCAGTACGAAAATCGCTGCTGCTTCATTTCAAATGCCAGCTGGCATGCGCAGGAAGCTTGCCAGGTATACACGAGCAGTCGCTTGGAGGCGTCCCCAGGCGCGGTGTTGCCAAAGAGTGATACGTCAAAAAGCACGCTCCAAGATCTCGGAGGGTCTTGCCCATAGGTATTCGGTAGATTGGGTACCTGGAAAGAAAAGGCAGTAATCCACATGAGAGCTCAGAACACGCGAGGAAAACAGAACCATCTGTATGACGTGCCAGCTTGACCAAGTTGTGGAAAGTAGAGACGTGAGTTGGTCCGCATACCAAGCGATCTTGACGGGCCTGCTTCTCACCATGCGATGGAGACCCAACTCGAAGGATGGAGGTCCTGGCTGCTCATGCTCATGAGACATGGGGACTTCTTTGCCAGCTCCGCCACCTGGAAACAGAGCAAACAGTCATTAGCACGCTCTCTCATCTATTGGAAAAATGATGGCGAAAGAAAGAAAAGATGGTATGCAAGATGCTTGACACACCTAAGAGAGCTGAAAATGAAGGGAAGACAACTCCAAAAACTCTGACTGCAACAGCCCCATTCCTCCGCCCTACTCCCCCTATCCCCCGAATCCAGAAACAGGGGTGGAACTAGAAGCTCGAAGTATCACACAATTGAACGATCTAAACAGCCTAAGTTGTGCTGGACATACCTTGTCTGCAAGCGGCACCCTAAGGAATGGGGGCGCATTCTCAGCGTACTCAAACAATCTGTTCCCCTGTTGTCTGTCAGGGCACACGTTCTGGCTTCCCCAGGGCCCTCGACTGGAATGGTGCCTCGGGCTCTCTTCTTCCAGGTACATGGACCCTGCTGATCCTGAACACACGGACAGCGCATCATGGCTGCTCCTCGTGCTGCCTGCTCCCCCCCCTATGGCCCCTCGGAAGCTTTCCCTATCCAGCTCTAAGAGGACTGCTGCTGATTCCGACTGATCACTGTCACTGTCTGCCCCATCGCTGCTGGCCTCACGTATATCGCTGTCGCTCCCGTCTGGAGTCCTGCAGAATAACGGCGGCTGATCATTGCACTAACAATTGCAAGAACTCTGCAGAGAGATAACGCAATCACACGCAATCAGTAGATACAAGGCCCTAAACAGATTCACTTTCTTGGAAACAATCTCTTCGCTCAAGGTCTCTTTGAGCGTCCTCTTGCTACTGCCTGATTGTTATACTTAGCAAGCAGGAAAGAGCAGCAACCTGGACGAAGGATGACTTACTGCACATTCAACTCTTTTCGTCGATCCGGATATCTCCAGAGCTCTATTGCCGATAAATATGGTACATAGTACTGAACGACGTCCTCATCCCCGTTTATTACAATTGGTACGCCCGCACCGTACGCGCTGGCTTCTTCCAATGATGCCCACAGATCGCTCAGCAGGAATGGGGGTGGGGCAGCCTGGCTGGCGCCCCAATGTTGTAGGGGTATCCGGTAGGCGCCATCCTCTAAGCATGACTGCACAAGCACTTGAAGAAGGTCACATGAACAGCAGAGAACTAGCAAACCTGCTGCAAACCATGATCCGGAACCAGCTGCTGCACGAGCACGTAGTCCACTGTTACATTTGACATCCATTATTTTCTGCGAGATCCAAATGTGCATCAACTTCTTTGAATGAAGCACATATCAGCAGCAAAAAGACTCCACTCTTTAGATAAGCTACCAGAAGGGGAAGCTAAAAACGGACACAATCCAAAAATGTTCTGTGCAACCCAGATGCCAAAATAGAACTAGCTAGACAGTGATGCTCGCGCAGATTTGCATCTGCAACACCCAAAATTTGCCACTCGATGTACAGCTACAGTCATTTAAGATGAAGTTATGCCAGATCGCAATCGTCTAGCAATAAAAAATGGAAAAACAACTCTTGACTTACAAGCAGGTATGGGGCCTACATGCAATCAGCGTCATTACTATATCCCAACAGCTATACCTCGGGCTCTTTTCGCAATAGACGCTTTGCACTACATGCTAACAGTGGGTCACGACTCTTTCTACCCAAGCAAACTCGTTCAGGGTCGAGGGCAGAGTAGTATGCTTTTCATGTCCTTCAACCAACCAGCCACTTGGCCAGCAAGGCCACCTTTTCACTCGCTTCTTCACTTCTGCCTCCAGCTGGCGTAGTGAGATCACTATGTGCAGAAAAGAGCCAAACATATAACATATGTGCAATGCCACACAGAAGAAACACAAAACAATTCTACATTAAAAAGAAGTCAGAGCTCAAACTTCTTCCTCCTCAAATAACACATTTCCCCTTCGTCTTACAAAGTGCCTTCTTTAGGGTCCTTAAGCACTCTACACCAAGTATGATTGGTCAGATAAGCTCCAGTCGAGATTAATAATATCTGCATGTGCGAACACTGTTGAGGGCAGACCATGTCCTGCAGCATCATCTTCCAAAAAGCAGGCCTCCAGAATACAAGGACATTCCACATTGTAGACAATTTTTCCAGATACTCAAAATAGTGTGGATCAAATACGTACCATATGAAGCATGCACGGTCACCATTCCAATGCAAGTGCAAAATGTGACTTCCTGCAAACATCTTTCAACTCACACCCATAGACAAGGCAACCTGATACCTCAAAAGAGAGCCCTCAGGCAAACCTTATACCCCATGCACAGCTGTAGTTAACAGAGGGCCTACCTTGAAGGTTTGGTGTATAGGTACATACGGGGCTGTCGCTACTCCAAAAGAATCAATGTTGGCCAAGCCGCTGCTTGGTGCTTCAGCACCAGAGGTTGCACGATAGCTGCTATCTGGTCTGTAAATGCTGTCATCAGAGTGCTGCGTTGCATCGAGTGTCCTTCCCTTGTCACAGGCCCCAAATCCATAGCTGAACGTCTGTAAACCATGAAGAGGACTGCTCTCTTCGTAGGGAGCAGCGACTTGGCCAAGTCTTCGCTTGCCTTGGCTCTTGTACCTGTCCATCCTTGGGGCCTGCGAGACAGCACCGTTACTACAGCTTTCCAAGGGGGACTGACTGCTGTTGTAGCTTCTAGTTTTGACTGCATCTACTGGCCTCCCTGTAGAACCAACAGAACCCGGGAAGTCCAAACATAAATTGTTCTGATGTGCTGGACCTGTCTCAAGAGGACCTACCATGACCCTCCCCTCTTATGCTCCCCCTGCCTTTGAATACCTCGCTCTTCCTGGAGTAGCTTGGAGCGCTCAATTGCTCTGACAAAAGCACTATAACTGGAGCTTTTGAGACCTACAGCGGCAGCTTCGGCTCCAGACCTGCTTAGTCCTGCCCTGAGCAGAGAACCCTTTGCAGCGACCAAAAGCTCTACTAGGATGTCAATCTGCGCTTGCCCAAGCCCATAGTAGACAGTAGTAGAAGCCCTTCTTCACAGGAAAACGGTCCCTACCAAATCGCAAGTTGGCAAAGAAGCCAGAACTCGGGAGCACTGAGCTCAGGAGGACCTTAGCGCGCTCTCTGTTCTGATTCAATCACCTACAGGCTACAGGCTACAAATGAAGCCGCTGAGTGCCCCAGGGCCAAGGCTGAACTTGAAGTTGAAGCCTGTGAAGGCTGTTCAAAGAAGTCTGTAGACTCGTGTAGAGAGACCCTTGCTTTGGTGAGAAGTCACAGCTCTAGCAGAGAATCTCAGCGCTGGTACCTACCGTAGCTGACTACCGTACGGTATCCGCCTCAACCCCCCCACGCGCCGGGAATGGTCTAAAACGAAGTGTCAATGGAATCTTCGACAGCTACCTTGGGGGCCCATTCCCATTTCGCATACGGTATGAGTCGAATGTAATACCTACTGAATGCACTGACAATGCTACAGCTACATGCTTATTAAGTGGAGACCAGATTGGCCCTACGCCCGGTAACAACCGGTGTGAACGATCAGCGGTACCAGAAACGTGATACCGAAGACCTCAGGCTCTCCGCGAGAAGCTTGACTGTTTTCAAATGAACGTGAGTCGTCGAGAGTCGCGAAGTTTCCCCTGAGCTGAAAGAATTTACAGGACTGCTTCTAACAACCGTCCATGGAGGATTGTGAGGGCCATTTTGACGGACGGATCTTAGCCTCCGAAGAGAGTGTGTAACTTTACCTTCAAACTTGAAGTTGAATCATGCAATCGTCCACGTTCGTGCAGGCCGGCCAGGACAGCTAATTCTGATCGAGCTCAGCTGATTCTGAGTCATGATCGAACTTGGAAGTTGAGAGTTCAGAAAGTGGAGCAGAAGGGGCTCAAGACAGCCCCAGACCGGCTTGCATGCACTCCCCCTGCACTCTCTGGGGAGTGGTGGCCCCTTCAGACGTAGGAAGGAACGGTGGAAGCTCCTAAAGAAGTCGGGTCGACACAAGGGGCCGAAATTATCTTCAAAGCCTGCGCTTCATGATGGATAAGAGACGTGAAGCTTAGACGCTAAAGCTGGTTCCTGCCGCGGTCAGTGATTCGGGCCTGGTACAATGGGGGTGGTGTGTCTCAAGTGAGATGCACTGGCCCGCAGTATTCCGCCTCATGTGACATTCGTAGAAGGTTCGTAGAGCTGTGATTGTTGAAAGCTGAGTGGCAGGGTAAGTTTCCGGAAAATGGCACGGGGTAGGCGTGCTCCGTCAAGAAACAGCAACACAATGCTGTCCATCATGGTGGTACAGGTGAGGAACTAGACATGTGTTGCTCCTGACAAACGTGTGGATGTTTCTTCTTCTTCTGTGAGGAAAACGAGTTTTCAACGGAGACGAGACCACTGTAAACCAGGCTCCGGGCATCATGTATGTGTTGGCATTCGCTTCATTGTGCCAGCAAATGGGTCCAGACTTAATATGAAAGAGTTTTTGGAGTGGAGACCATTGTTCCGTCAAGGTTGTAATAAAAACTGGTTGCAGGGCCCTCTTCACCCCGCACTTGGCTGTGTTGGTTGCAGGCCTTGACCCAGTTCATGAAACTTGAGCAGAAGCCTCCGGTCACGGTAGCACTGATCCTCATCAACGCGCTCATCTTCTTTCGGCCCGGAGATCTTGTGGAGATTGTGCCGTCTGTTGCCGAGATTTGCCTAAATCCATACTTGGTGCTTAAGGTGGGTTGTGATGTCCAAATGAGCATATGTATCTACGTTGGTGATCTTCTTCATCCTTATCTAGATGCTTCAGCTCAAGGACTTCATCAAAAGCATTATGGCCCCCACCAGAGAAGCTACGCCTTGGGCAATTTCTCCTTGTGAAGGTCTGACTTCGCTTGCAAGTTTGTTTCGGATTGTTGCTTCAGTCTTTCGGCCCTTTCTTTAAGCCTTCCACACTTAGAGGGCTTCTTGTCCACTTAGTTGACTGGGCAGGAAGAGATTCCCACTCTGTACTTGTCTGTTGGTTCAAGGTTCTGAAGGTAGTGGTGTAGAGGCCTGAAGGTTCAAGGTTCTGAAGGTAGTGGTGTTGAGGCCTGAAGGGATCTTTGATTGTCCATCTGCACAGGATGGAAATCTTAGAAAAGGGATTTAGTTTTGACAAGCTCCTCAAGACGTTTCAGGGATCCCTAGAGCAAGTCCCACATTCCACAGGTACTTTCCAGCAGCATAAGTGGCTGACACGAGCGTCATCTGCCCTTTGCCACAGAATCGTGACTGGAAGCGGCTCCTGTTATCCGCCTTCATGCACGCTGACGAAGCCCATCTTACATACAACATGGTCTCTTTCCTTTGGAAAGGGGTACAACTGGAGGGTGCGCTTGGCAGCGCCCAATTTGCCAAGCTGATAGCCCTGCTTACACTCCTCTCGCAAGGATGCACCCTGCTGGTTGCCAAACTCATAGCGGACCAGCTGGGAATCAGGGTAGGCTCGCCCGCTTGCTTCTTATCGCTCCCTGTGAGATTTTGACTGTTAATCTTTGAAAAGGAGGATTCAATCCAAGCTGGTCTTCAGAGGTGCCCTGGCAGGTTTTTGCCCGCTTGGATGAGAGCTTTTCTTTGCATGCCTTGTGCTGCCATATTCAATACGAAAGGCAGGCAATTTCTTCTTGGATTGAGAAGATGAATCGGAACTCATGGGTCCTACTGAAGACCATTTTGGACTGCCATGTGACGGGGGTGGTCTCTTGAACGTATGGTTGGAGCTGTTCATCAAAGAGCGTCTGAAAGGGGCACCTCTTTCTTCGTTCACTATTGGCTGAACTGCCTGTGCTCATGCACACGCAGGAACCGTTCTACCACCAGTGTGCTGTCGGGTTCTCGGGGGTCATCTTTGCTCTCAAGGTGGTCCTCACGTGGCACTCCCCCACCTCCAGCACCATCGCCGGCTTCATCATCCCCACCCGCTATGCTGCATGGGCGGAACTCGTGGCCATCCAGTACGCGACTCCACAAGCTTCCTTTGTGGGACATCTTGGCGGAATCTTGGCTGGATTGATACTGGTCTATTTTCCGAGGATCTTGCCACGTGGCCTGCCCTTTGTGGTGGGGCTGAGAGCACTGGCCCCCACCACCGTGGCGTCAGTGCAGTCAGGACGAGTCGAGGAGCAGCAGGCGCCGCAAAGGAGGACGCGATGGTTTTCCAGCTGGGGTACCGCAGGTTCAACGGAAGCGCATGTGCGGGATCGAGGGAACGCAGGCCTGGGGCAAACAGGCAGCCAAGAAGGTTCGGGATTGGGAGCAGGGTTACGAAGTTTCTTCACAGATTGGATCAACCCTCGGAGTACACAGGTTGAATGGTCTTGCCCAGCTTGCACCTTCAGGAATCGAGGAGAAGCCGACTTTTGTGAGATGTGTGGGGAAGCCGGAGGCACCACCTCTGGCATGCATCAACGAACCCCGAGTGCAGTGCAGCAGAGTGATGCAAGTGACGGTTATGAAAGGGTGTCTCCTGCTGAGAGTATACGAAGGCGCCGTTCGGAAAGGTTTGGTGAAACTTCAACGGCTCGGAGATAATCTTGCACTGAATCACTCTTAAGTTAAGTTTCAGTGAATATAGTGACATCTGGATGTTTCGATGTTGTTGAGGGCTGTACTGGCCTGAACGATTGTTCTTTCTCTGTGAGATGATCACTGCACGTCCTTGCGTGATGTTTGTTGCGTAATTTCCGGGTCTCTGCATGAGGGGCCTGTGATGTGCAATTTCAATTGGTTGGACACTCTGTGCATGTTGTATGAGCTAGCCCCGGGGCGCCCGGAAGCCTTCAGATTCTCTATGATTTATTTGTTGTCATATGAGCTAGATGTCTCATACTAGATCGAGGTTGACATGTATTTGTTTAGGAATGATATTTGCCTCAACATCGATCAGTTTCTCATGCTCAGAGGCTCTGTCGCTTCAAAGCCGGTGCATGTATCATAAGGAACGTTTATGCAGCTTTCAATCGAATGCTGCGCAATCAATCGCGTGCCGGGTGGCATCTTTCTAGGTGCATCATTGGCATGGTCCATATACATATTAAATCAGCTCCGGCCGAAGGAATGACATGGTTATGCAGTCTACTTAGTATAGTACGCGTTGCACTATAACTTCTCATTCTTGCATGATCGAATCTTTGAAATGAAATTATATTTCAATCATGCCCATGGCTATGCACGAAGTTGTGCTAGTTGAGTGTATATGGAGCTTCGATGGTCTCTTTTCGTAACGCCGTAGCCAGTGCGGCCATAGGCTTCTCATGGCATACAATTGTTGTGTTTGAAGATGTCTGCTTCTCTATCAACTTACGACTAATGTGAGCCTAACGACACAATTACAAACACGAGGCTGACGATCTGCCAATCCCAGCGCTGTCCGGGCCTTGTCTTCAACATAACCGAGGGCGTTAGTAGCTAAACGACGGATTTGTACAAAGGCAACATGACTGACATGCGTGAATTCGGCAAGGCAGAACCCGGGCCGGATTGCGCCGGCCACATGCGTGCTAGTAGGCCTGCGAATGCAGGGCAATTACTCGAGCAAGTGTACCTAACCGCATATATAGCTTGCCTAACTTGTTCGCACCGGCCAGGCACGTTCCGATGCTGCCATTCAAATGTGATGTGCCTAATAATCAAATTGTGCCATGTATTGATCAAGTTGTTGTTCAAAACATATACTAGCTTCGATCATTATGAAATCCACAGTCAGGCTCATCGGATCATGATGCAACTTGAGCCACGCAGGCTCTCGATCAACACACAATCGCAAAGAAAAGCTCTTGAGGTGAACGATTGTGGGTGATAGGCAAGGGGCACATCCCAACTCGGTCTATACGAGATCAGGGGATCATTGGGCGCGGAGTTGTCAGCCCCCCGAAAACATCGCACAAAACATGTTGGTGCTAGCAAAGATGATAACAATCCATCTTTAGCAGGGTAGGAGTTCCTTATCGTGGCTACCTTTAGTTGAAGACAATGTATGCTCGAGTCTCAAGTCAACTCTTTCAATAGGAATGTGATAGTGCTCAGTCCAAACCCTTCTGCAATGCCAGCTTAGAATCCTCCAAGCTCCACTAGATATCCCTCCCCAAGATCTAGTCGGTATACTAGACTTGCATAGCCAAACATTTCGGGGCATTTCGAACTCCTGACGAGCACACTAAAACCAAGTTCACAGTACCTCCGAACCTGCATCGTCTAAAAGGCAGGATTGCCAAAAGGGTTGCTGTTGTACGCTTGTGCAGGTGGTTGTGCCTGGTAAGGATTGCCGAACGGATTGGCAGCAATCTGCGGCTGGGCGTACCCAGCCTGCGGCTGTGCCCCATAGCCATAACCTTGCTGCGAAACTTGCTGCTGCTGATACAGGACCGCCTGCTGCTGTCGCATCTGCAACCAGAAGCAGCGGGTTTGATGCAACCTCAAAGAGTGGGGCGTCACAGATAAGTGATCAGAGACAGACTCTCCTTCACTAGGAATTCAAGCATCGGAAAGCCACAGCCGTCAAACAGGAACTGCGGAAAAACGCTTGAGTGCTTGAGCCAGGCAAGTCTTACCTGTGCCATTTGAACGGATGGAGGTGGCGCAAACTTCGAGGAGGCTGCAAACGGATCCGACTGTGCAGCAACTGGAGCGAAAGGGTTGCTGGAGACGGGGCCGTTGTAACTCCCTGCGCTGTTGTAGCTCCCAGGGGGTGTTGTGTAAGGAGACCGCCTCGTCAGTGCGTCCTCATAGAGGCTATCCAGGGTCAGCTTATCGAAGTTGCCAACCTGTGTTGCAGCCGAGACAAAGCAAGACGAAAATCAGAGGGGCAAAAGTACGGTTGAGCAGGGTCGACCTTATCGCAAACAGGAGGATGTTACTGCGACAGACGCAGTCCGTTCTTTTGATACAGCTTGCGATACGGAATCCTTTGGTTTCGCATGTGACTGTACGAATCCAGAGATTTTTCTTCCATCGGTTCGAAAGCGTCTGGGGCCTAAGGATTGCTTTCTTGCGGCTCTGAAACTTTTTTCCTACGCCACATTCCGTCCTCGTTTCCCCAAAAACGCCTTAACGATTGTAGATGGTCTTCTACAGCCTGCAGTGCAGGGCTTCCCCGAAGAATAAGGAGCACATTGAGGACGTAACAACGCTGGAGAAAGGATCTAGTTCATCAACGCGAAACGGACCTGCCACCACGGCCTCACCTTTTGAGAATTCGAGTCCTGAGTGGGAACAATTGCAAGCTCCCAACCGCTAGCGCCGGCTGAATCAAAACCGTTGCTTGCTGGGGCCACCCCTCCATTGCTTGTGGGACCTGGGAAACAGTTCAACGCGTCTAGTGAGAACAGGTTAAAAAGACCGCTCTCGACTTGCACCAGAGACACGGGGTATCAGAAACAGACAAGCAAGCTTGCTACACAGAGTTTCCATCTCCTCCAACTGACAACCAACAAGGGCAATCGCCAGATCCTGACTGGTGTACTACACTGACGGAGGACTCCCCCAGGGGCAGAAAACGGCTCACCACTCGGCACAATTGCCAGAGCAAGTGCGTTGGACTCATCCAGGGCGTTGCCATGCTCCGGGCTTGCTGTGGCCGTAATTCCCTGCACAGATCAATTAACGCAGATCATTGAAGAAGGGGTATCTAAGAGAAACCGCTCATTGCTCCTTCCCAGAACAACGTTGTAAAGGTCGCCTCTAAACAACGAATTCCTTCCGGATCGAGGAGAGTGAGCAAAGAATGCTAGGGATGCTTTATGCAAGCAAGCTCGGTTGCAGCAGACCTACCAAGAAGTCTGGCTGCTCTTCAACTGGCAGTGGTGCAGGAGGTCCACCGCGCTGCCCCGGCTTGGGGACCGGCTCTCGGAACGCCTCCTGCTCCTGCTTCCCGGCTGCCCCTCTCGAAACCCCACCATATGACCGAGGACCCTCCTCGTAGCCATCCTGATGACAATCACGATCACACCAGTACGCTCCATGGACGCTGACAAGACTGAGCAGTCATACTAATGAGGTGACTTCGGAGACCGAGAGAACACTGAGGTTCACTGCGACGAAAGGCAAGAGCAACAGGCTACAGCCAAGATCCAGCACAGCAAGTTTCTCTGAATATAAAGGCACTTACCGAGACTTCCCGAGGCATTTGCTCAGCACGGGGAGCATCCCGAACGTACTCTTCCATCGTAGACAGGAAAGAGGTGGGCGGCTGCAGAACACACAACTCTTACTGTAATACAGATCTGTGAAATTCAGTTGATGATGTACGCCAGAAAGATGCCCCCACGAAACAAACAGTAGCACCACAAAATATAAATACAAAATGCAGGTCTTGAAGATGGGTCAAGAAATCCTGATTCCTCCTTTGCTGACATTGAGTGTTCTTAGATGTACCTGTTCTACCCAGATCCTCAGCCTCTCAATCCAACTGAACTGCCTAAAGATGGATTCCCAAGCAACGATCTCACGGGCCACCTTTTCCAAATGAAAGTTCAGAACCAGCCAAGCACCTCAATTGCACGTACCTGCTCGAGAGTGGGGAATTGGAAGCTCCGTCCAAGGGCGAGGGTTTTGCACGACTCATAGAACTCCGCCAGTCTTTCTGCCTGCTTTCCAGCCAGCTTGTAAACCTCTAGAGCCTTGATTGCATCATGCCGTTGCATGTCGAAGAACTGCAACGCGAGAAGAATAGTCAAAGAAAAGTGGATCACCAGTCCAGACCCTTAACTCAGACAAACCTGATCAAGCATGAGGCCACATACAGCTACTCACCATTCAGACTTCTAGCTCACCATCACAAGCTCTTGCCCTAAGGAGCTGAAACTCACCTTGTCCACCAGATTGATGATGCCATCATTGATTGCTCTGTAGAGCTTGAAACTCTCTTTCAAAACCTGCAGTAAGAGAAAGATCAGTAAATGGACGAATATCGGAGAAAGTTTGACTAAGTTTCACCAACTGGCTTTCCGTTTGCGACAACATTCAAAGAGAGCATAGCCCTGGGAGCCTCTTGAGGTTACTGAGCCACTGGGCCATTGGGCCACTTCACTCACCAATCCAAGAGCAGCCTCGATTACGAAGTTTGAAGTTGCAGCCCCTTCAGGCTGACAGTTGAGCAGCCTGTAGAGGGTCTGCTGCAGGGCCGGAAGCTGTTCCAGGAGATCTGGAGTATCTAGCTCTCGGGTCTTACTATGGCCCTGCACAGCTTGAAGACAGCAATTCAGCATGGGTGCAAACCATGGTTCTTCCCCTCAACATACACCTGCTGATTGCCCCGTCCCGAAAGTATCTCAGAGTGTTCGCAGTCAATCTTTAGCGGCGTGTCGAACAAACCGACTGCTTGCTTACAAGCCAAGCTTTTTTGTTGCCAATAGAGGTAAAAAGAGCTCACCGACGAACGCTCAGCTTCCACGTCGTACTTCAGTACCCGGAAGCACTCCAACCTTTCCTCCAAGAAGAGCGCATACACTCGTACCCATGCAGAGTAGTCCCAAGCTGCAGGGGGGTTGGGACGTCACTACCATCAGCACCAAGTATTCTACACTGTGAGCATTTTAGCCCTGCATTGTCGGCAATTGCATTAGACTGCAGTCCAAATACTCCACATAAGAAGGTAAACATGTCTCGCCGTGCTCCACTTTCCAAGAGAAGCAATATCACCCGAACGTATCTACTTCACATGGTAAGCAGTCAAACAAGCAAACATGAGGCATCCCGAACCTTCTGCTCACCTGGGGGACTGGACTCGTCCTTGAAGTGAGACATATTTAGGAGGTGGTTACGGCTTCGAGAAAAGTTGATAAGCTCCTCGCGGAAAGTAGGGTCTCCTTCTCGCAGACATCTGTGGATCACCATCAATGTCTTCAGAGCGACCTGCATACACGAGGATCATAGAGTCAAGTGCTGTGCACCAGATCCTAAACCACATCCAGAGAGTCTTCAAGATTCAAATCTTGCTTAGAAACCAGCTCCAGAAGCTGTCATTTCGTAACACCATAACTTACCGCCCAGTTGTGCGTCTTGGATAACCGCTTCGCAATTGCATTGATGAGGTATGCGATGTCCGCCCGTGGCCTGGCAGCAGATGTTGCGGCCAGTATTGCTGCATTCATTTTAAACCAGGATGAGCAGTGACTCTTGAAATAGTGAAAATCTCAAGCAACAATCAGAGGAGTAATCACAGCGCAGTGTATTATGAGCTTTCCTGAGAGACCGAGTTCTATCAAGCCTGATCGTGCTGCCTACATTCCAGAAGTGCAACCTCCGTGCCAGAATTGACTTAGGGCCGCAGCCGCAACTCACTTCGTACGTGCTTTTCCTTTGGAGGTGACTCAATGTGGTTGGTTGCTTTTACCACAGCAACATCCAGATCCTGCACATACGTGATCCATCTTAAGCGATCCAGCCCAGAACTGGCAGGCTTGGCTAGAGGCAGCACTGCACCTGCTTTGCAAACAATAGCAGCTTCAGAAACCTGCACATGCAAGAATCCTCAAAATTGCACATTGCTCTGCATCAGGCGGGAAGGCAATGCTTACCTTGTAGTTGCCGCTGCCAGCCTTCGCCAAACTGACAGATGTTGCGTCTTTTGCCTTTCCGGCATACTTTCGAAAAGACGACATCCTTGGAACTCAGGGTCACTTTGCAACCAAGATGCAATCTGCTCTGCGAAAACTCCTGTGAGGGACTCCCCGTCTGATCAAGTGTCCTGACACAGCGGAGTGTATTCCCGTTTCTTGAGCAATTGTCTACAGTCCTTATCTTTGACGCAGGCTTTCGCAGGGATGTAATGGCCTCTTTCCCAGACACCCTTTCCTTCCTGCTTCCTCGGGTCCGCAAGAAGGACGCCTGTGACGCAAAGCAGCAAAGCGCTGCCTCGCCTCGATTCGATTGACCTGTGTGCTGTCCAGGCCCCAGCTGGTCTGCCAGTGCAAGACTGCAGCCTGGTGCGCAGGGCAGCCAGTCAAGTAATGGCGTAGCTATAGCCCTAGGTACGGTACTTGTGAAAGTACAACCACCGTAGTCCAAGCCTCAAGCCTCAGAAGGTACCTAATATGATTTCGAATAACCAAATAATTATCTGCATTCGGAACATCAGAAAGTCGAACTATGTAATACCCGTTCGGAAAGTGGAATTTCGGAAAGGTCAATAATTCTGGAAATGGTCCTCAATACTTGGAAGCCCCATGCACAAGTTACAGCCGTCAACTGGGCCCAAGACGGCCAGTGTCAGCCGAAATATTCCCTTCTTATTGAGAACATACGGCATTCGGATTATGTTGTCAGAACCAGCATAAATGGATCCGCTTTTCTCGTCGGATTGTCGAAAAACAATTCGAAAATAAAATCGTCTGGAACCTATAGGCTACCGTATACTTACTCAGACTCGGAGTACGGTCAAAGTGGTCAAGCCGTGGAGTGCTCGGGCCTTCGGTTTCCGGACACCTCAGACCCTCCATGACTTCAAAGCCTGCTGTGATTGGCAAATACATACCGTCGATAGAGCTGACGTCAATATTGACCGTCCAGAAGAGCCGATCCTAAACTTACTAAGGTTGTAAATACCGTAGGTATAAATTTACCGTAGGATGCACTCTGCATGCAGAGGCCCAGCCTGAAGTCTAAGAGGAGAAGAGCCAGTGTTTTGAATCAAGGGTGGTCGCCTCCGACCTCCCTCTGCAACGGTGGTGCCCTAGGCTGGCCTAATACGCAATGCTGGGGTTTTCGTACTCCAGAGTCCACTTCTCTTGATTGAGGCGCTTCCTCAGAACCCCTGCAACCATGACCTTTGAAACTTTAAGTGCGCGGCTGCCGCGGCTGAGAGACGGGTGCGTTCGAGGGGCGTGGTATGTGCAGAATCATAAGGAGCTCAAATGTGAAGGGATTGCCAATCATCAACTGTCCGCCTCCTTTCAAAGCAAGAAGATACAGGGGGCCATACAGGTGCCCAGAAGCCTGTTAACATCCAGATCTCATGTGTTCTGCGAACAAGTTAAGAAGAAGCTGCAATATTGCCCTGGGCAGCTGATTGCCCCAGTGTGTGGTAATACTCTCCACAACCGACGTTCCGTGGGTGGCGCTCATGGGAAACCTGCTGCTGTTCAAGTTTCGGCAGACCTGGATCAATCAAGAAACTCAGCCAATGTTCCCAAAGAAGTTCTGAAGCGTGTTGCTGTGATTGGGAGTGGCGTTTCAGGTCTGGCAGCTGCAAAAGCTTTTTTGCAAGATGGGCACTTTCAAGTGAGTGTCTATGAGCAGCAGAATGAGCTGGGAGGTCTGTGGGCCAAGACGTACGAAACCGCTCGCATCCAGAACGGGAAGTCAATGTATGAGTTCTCAGATCATCCAATGCCAGCTGAATTTCCGATGCTGCCGTCAAAAGATCAGGTCAAATCGTACTTAAAAACTTACGCGCATCGTTTCAGCGTGGATCAGCACATCAACTTCGGTACGCGTGTCGCAAGCATGCGGAAGGCAGATCTAGACAGGTATGCCACCCCAACCTCTATTTGTAGAATTTGCACTTGACCTCGTCTTGCCCAACGTGGTCATCAGAGACTGCATGTGACATAACACCTGTGATGCTGACGGTGATTCTGGCCCCCAATGATAAGGCTAGAATCTGTGTTGCCCCCACCAAGCTTATAAGGTCAACTTCTTGTTTGTAACTCAGCCAGCTGGGAAGGTTTCGCGTTCCAGCTTTATGTCAAGCGTCACTGACTGCTCAATGTTGGGGGCCTCTTCCTGCAGGACCGGGGCAAGTTGGGCAGACTGCAAATGGATCCTGGACCTCGAGACACTGGGAGAAGATGGGGCATGGCGCCATCACAAATCAGAAGAATTTGACTTGGTCATCATGTGCCTTGGCAATTACAGCGAGAAACCGCACCTGCCGTCCTTTTCAGAGGGCAAGGGCCCGGAGGTCTTTTGTGGGGAGAGCATCCATTCCGCTTCATTCAAAAGTGCGCAAAACCTGCAGGTATGACCGTATTCTTGTGTTGGTCTTAAAGCCATCGACGTGCTGCCAATCAGATCCCAGGTCGGGGCGGGTGTTTCTGCAGGACCCAATGTAGATCGGTGGTTGCTGTTCTGAACATCTCTATCACTGCCCATTGTTGATGGCTAGCCATACCAGCGCTTTTCCCTTAACCGTACATGACAGCCTTCTCCTCTTTGTGACAGGGCCGCCACGTTGGAGTCATAGGCTTTGGAAAGACGGCTTTGGACATTGCAGTGGCAGTTGCTGCCGCACAAGAGGAGTCGGGGCTGCCAGTCACTCTTATCTTCCGAAAAGCAAAGTGGATAATACCAAGGTGAGGACGTCTTGTGTGCAGAACAGATTTTATCATTCTCAGTCTGTGCCCTTTTGACACATTTTCAATTTCGGTCTCACCGTTTTACCATAGAATTAATATCTGGTGTCTTCTGACTGCAAGTGTTTTTTTAAGTGCCCGCAAATTCAGACGGCCAGAGCTTCTCATTTGACTTCAAATGCAAATGCAGTTCGGAAAGCTTGGGACCATCAGTCTCGATGCATGAAATACCAAGTGAAAACTTGATTTTAGAAGACCTCACTGTCTGGTCCTAGGCTGATATGTGTACCCTTGTATAGAGTCTCGTTTCTCTGGTCAAGGCCCTCCGTTTTGTTCCAACCAATCCTGGACATGTCAAAGACAGATCTAGTGGTAGATGTGAGGACTACCAGCCAGTCAAAGCTACCCAAATGGATCCATGTAAAAGGAAATCTGGACGGAAGAGCTTCAAATGCCGCTTCCGTCAAAGCTCTACCCTTGGACGTTGTCAAGACCAGCATCGCGTTGTGGGCAGTCTCCCCAGCCACTGCGCCTTGATTGACCCTTCTTCTTCTTCGACTGTGCTGTCGACTTTGCAATTCGCACTTTGTGTGCAAGCCAAAGATCGCCCGGATCTTCTAAGCTGGCGTGGAACTTCTTGCCTGCTGACTTCGAAGTCTGTCTTGCTCCAGGAAAGCGCTCGAGAGGCGGGGGAACAATTCGCGGCCGTATTTGCGCTTCACCGAGCTGTGGGTCGCCAAGCCGGAACGGCACTGGGCGGAGCACCTCCTCCACACGCTGGGGTTCCCGCTGGTGAGCGAGCGCAACTATCGGTGCGGTACCTGGAACGATCCGGGTGTATTAGGATGTGATGTCGCTTCGAAGCGGGTCCAACTTAGCAGGTAGCTAAGTTCTTCATGACTTGTTAGTGCACGGAAACTTAGTCGGAGGCACTCGACCGTCCTCTGACAAGTTGCTGTTCCTCAGACTTATTAGCGTGTCTCAGTGTACACGTATGGGAAGAAGGGTCAAAAGTTGTCTTCTCCAAGAACTTCTCTCGGTTCACGCCAGAGATTGACGACAATCGTCAATCTTTGCCCGGCACCAGGCTTTTAAAAGCAGTTGCCCTTCCCTGTCCAACTGTTTGGCGCCCCGCTTCCAGGTGTGGCTGTACTGGGCTGTGCAGCAGCGAGTGATTCGGGGCATGCTAGACGGGTTGGTGCAGAGCGGCAGCTACCGGCCGAGGCACTCGCTGCAGAGCGCACTGGGCTGCCCTCTGGCCTTGGAACCGGAGGGCTTCCAGGAGCTCGTCAAGGCGGGCCGCATCGTGCTCAAGGAGGTCTCAGGTGCGCGCTCAAAAGAATCAGGCTGGCGCTGGCCGACGTGTGATGGAACAGGGACAGCGCTCAGCATCGATCTCTGTATTTATGACCACGCGTCTTTCTTGCCTTGCTTCCACTTCAAACGGAGCCCTGTCTCGACTTTCGAACTTGCTGAAAGCATCGGTTCCGTCCACCTCGGATCGAACCAAACTTTTCCCGTGCCAAGAGGTTCTTTCATACTCAATCTCTCCTCGCCGGCCCTTTGACAGCGGTTTAAGATTGACGCCCACCGACTCCACGCGCCTCCGTGCAGACTGGCACTACACTGAGCGGGGCCTGCGGCTGAATGGTCACGACGACCTGGCCTTGGACACGGTGCTGCTGTGCACCGGGTATGACGGGCCGAGCAAGCTGGCGGAGATCCTGCCGGAGAATGAGAGACAGTTTCTCGCTGAGCATCAGGATGGTCTCCATCTTTTCAGGTGAGCCGTTGGTTCTGCTTTGCGGCTCCACGGAAAGTCAAATTATCACGAAGACAGCCTCGAGATAATCCGCTAGTATACGAGACTGGTCGATCAGACACAGCGCTGAAGTCATGTTTTCGTCCTTCCTACTCAGGTTCAGCGTTTGTTTTGCCTGTGAAAATCGTCTTTGCAGTGGGTCCTTTTTGTGGTTCACTTTGGCCAACAAGTTCGTCACGAGTTGTTTGCTTTGTCGCCGGCCTAGAGGCTACGAGCCCCGCCTGTCAGCGATTAACTCTTCCCGCTGGTTTCCGCAGGGGCATCATCCATCCCAAGGTGCCCGCCGTCGCCTTCTTGGGGTACAACATGACGTTCTCGGTGGTGCACTCGTCGGAGCTGGGGGCAAAGTGGCTGGCCAAGCTGGCCGGCGGGTCCTTCGATCTGCCTAGTGAAGAGGAGATGGAAAGGGACAGGGAAAAGTGGCGAACGTTCCGTGAGAAGAACTGGATCTCTTATCCGGAGCGAGGGCAGTGCTTTGCTCCGCTCAATCTGACATACTACGACATGCTTAGAGCCGACATGGGCTGGCCAAAGCTGGTCCTGAGTTCGAACCCTCTAAAAAATCTGATTGCTCCCATAGCATCAAGGGAAGTGTGCGAACCTTGAATATTCATTGAGTTGTATATAGACTGAATAAGTTGCACTGAGCTCGCTTAATCTGGTTACTTACTGAACAGCATATACAGCATAGCCTTCAGCGCGTTGATTGCATCAAGCGCCAAGTAGTTCGCACCCCACGTTCTTAATGCAGGAGCCCATGAAGTGTGGTCGCCTTTGATTCTTATAAGCTGTCGCCCCTTTTTTTTCCTATTCTTTTGTCTAAAAACCTTTGCAAAAAGGGGGCGCCCCAGGGGATTTGCCCTTGTATATAGTGCCTGGCCCGCATCCCCGCTAGACTTGAAAGATGTGGCTCCCTTAAAGCCGCATGAGCAAGCTGATCGGATTGTCTCCTTAGTGCAGTCGTCCTTGTCACTGTACTCAGATCCCTATGTAATCAGGCGGATGGAGCTCGACAAAGAAGTTTTCATGGTAGCATTGCCACTATGCGCATGCATGGTACGCCGTGCAGCACGCGGCCGCATATATGCGCGCCGTACGTTGGGCTAGCTCGTCCCACGCGAACGACATAATTTTCTTAAGCACATATGCACGGCCCGGCTGTTAGTGCATATCATATGATCATCTTCATCCGCAGATTGTCGTGATTATTATCTACTTAATTTATACCATGCAACCCATCATGCGATGCGCAGCGCAGCCGCAGCTAGCTCTAGCTATATATGCGCAACCTGACTGAGGCTTAATCCGATCCCACCGTATTTGTCCAACTTAAGCCCATGGTGGATTGATAGCTTGCACCGTACAGATACAGCTACCTGTACTGGTTGGCGTGAAATCCAACGCGTGGTCGAGCCGCGGCCGACTGGATGATTTGCCGTTAGATGCATACATCTCGGCCGTTATACAGACTTAGATGTTCATTCCCGGCTTATAACAATCGACAAAATTCACGTCCCGCGGACAGCTCACTGTCACATCTATATGGTACACTTTACTATCAAAGTCTCGGTAGCTGTGATCATGTACTCCTAAGGGAATGCTTAAGCAACATCATTCGCTCTCAACTCCTTTGATTTTTGCAACGATTTGGGTCGACCGTCGTGTTTCTTCTGCAGGATTTGAACTTTCTCTCCTCTGAATGCCAGCGAGGCCGCTTCACTTCGATTCCTTGCTTGCGAAAAGACAGACACATGCTTGTCCGTCTCGACGCTCAACCGATCGAGTCAACAGAGTGCAAAACGACTCGATTGATCTTCCCTCGAGGTCCGAAGCAACCTCCTAACCTGTCTTACGTTCACCAAGCCCAGTATTTACCTGCGGGTCTCTGCTTAGCTAAACCAGCCTCACTGTTGCATACGCTGCTCGACCTCCGGCGTTTCCTGATGGCTGCAAAGAAGCAGAGTGGGGCCATCGTTAAATTCGACCGAATTCTCGTGAAGCGAGATATCTAGCAAGAGAAGCACGAAGCGGGACCTGAACGGCCACAGTACACGCCGGAATGGAAACTAACGGAAGTTTGCTTGAATCGGTACTCCGCTTGGCCATCCAATCAGATCCAAAGGTACTTTAAGCTTTTTAGATAACATCACGACTGAAGGGCTCGATATAATACGAATTGAAACCATCCCGCCATTGGTCACAGTCTTGATGAAAAAGTTGTTTGTTACCCCCGGCAACCGTGGGCTGCCTTTCTGTAACGAGTCTGCCAGCTATCCACGTGGCGGCCACGCCGCTAAGCACAAAGATCCTAGCGGAGCTGCGTAAGTGTCTGCTTCTTGTTAAGATATTGACTTTATTTCTCAGGCCGGGAGCGACTGGAGTTGTGGAGGTCATGCTCTGACGAGGGCAAAGAGCGTAAGCTATCGAAACCCCGGCACCCAAGGCATCAAGGGTCAATTCGATACCCTGCCCACCGACCCACAATTTTCGATCGAATCACAGCAAGCTGCTCAAGGTGAAGCCAGTCGAAAAATGGAAGAAACACAAGCCCACCCGCAGAAAGCCAGAGGTAAGCATGCAGGCCATCAATCTAACCAAAAGATAACCAAGCCGTCAAGCAACAACAATCTACACAGTCAAGGCGACCCCCACCTGAGACTCCAGATCGTCCTGACCAAAATGGACGACCACCGAGTGTCCCACAATCGAGCTGGGCCCGTCTAAGCTGATGACAACGTCCTCCAGCGTGGTCTGGACCTTGCCATCCTGCAAGGCAGGCAGATGAGCAGGCGCACAACTCAGGGAAGTGTCTCTGATTAAGAATATGGCCAAGTATTGAGCCTAAATCCTTCCACCCGTCGAGTCTTGCTGATCTGATGCAGGCCTCGTTACATCCAGGTCAGATGGCACAGACGGCAACTCAGCCATTGTGCTGGCCCTACGTTGTCAGCCCGAATGTTCCCCAGATCGCCCACATGCCGCTCCTCGCTGCCAGGCGCCCCGTGGGGCTTCTTGCTGGGGTTGTAGTGCCCCCCCGTGCACAGGCCGTCATCGCATGTGACATCGCCAATCTCCTGCAGCGACATCGAGACCAGTATGAACAGAACCGCAGCAGTCCTAGCATCTGACTATTTTGCGAGCACAGGCTTCATTTCTAACAGGCACACATGGGCAGGGGTAGCAGTCCCACCACCTCTGTCTCGCGGTCAGTTTGAGCCAGCACGGAGCAGAGCGCCGAAGTTCATTGCCTAAACATGAGTTGGTTCATTTGTCAGTGCTTGCGCTGAAGTAACGAGCCTATGAACGGTTTGTTTTAGCCAGACTTCCAATGGGCGCAGAAAGTTGACCGACTTTTCTCCCGATGTTGCTTCCGCACAGGTCATTGGACACTACCTAAGGACGGCTGGGTCAGCGATCCCCCTTCACCTCCCTTCCCATCCCCCCTACCCCTTCCTTCCCCTCCCCCCGCTCCTCCCCCGCCCCTCCCTCTTCACCCCCCCTTCATTGCCCTGCATGGCTTCACTTTCGTTTGCTTGCCAGTATCAGGCAAAGAACACATACAGTAATGCAGACTCTTTGCCAAGGGACAAAATCCTGAGAGACAAGACGCCAAGGAGCAGAGTTCTGAGAAAGAAGCTGTACATCGCTCCAAACTAAAGCGTCTGCTCAAGCTGACTCACATGAATGTGGAATCCATGCATACCAGGGGAGAGACCCCCAATATTGACGTCCACCTTCACTTTCCTGCCACCAAAGAAGCCCGACGACTCTGTGAATGTAACTTCACCTGTACAAGGAGCAGGAGATGCAAATTACGTTGACGGGGTCCACATTTTGGGGGCTTTAAAGCCCACTAAAAATTGTTCTTCTACAATGATAAATAGGACTCTGGAACAATACCTGCGGAAGAAGTAAAGAACCACCTCAGAGGAGCTCAAGCAACTGCTGCGAATGACTATCCGGTCAACAACAGCGGCCACGATGCACTCCTGGCATAGATTCTCACAACACATGCTGTGGGCGACTTCAAAAAGCACCATTCAGTGGGCCTTGTTCTAGACATGGAAGGAGACATACCAAAAGCCGTGCTTCCCTTTGTAGGAACCAATTTGGCAACTGCCACCTTTGCAGCTGCTGCCTCAGCTGGCTGAGCCAATGCTGCGCTGGCTAGGGCGAGGCCGAGGAGGAAATCTCGCCGGGGGCACTCAGGCCCACATTGGCAGCCCACTGCCCTTGCTTCTGAGAAGCTGCCCACACATTGTGCCTGGACTGCGAGCTTTCGGGTATGAATTGGCACTGGGGCAGCATGCACGGGAAGGCCCCAAAATGACTTTGGCAGGACGGCGGAGCTTGCGACAGAAGCAGCCGCTTCTGGACGAAAGACTAAAGCACCAATAGTAAGGGCAGCAGGGCCTGAAAAGGCAATTGCTACAGTGCACGCCATTCTGCTGGACAAGAGGACTGGAAAGCGGAGAGCTGTACAGATTCGCACCCTAGGTGGTCCTTGAGAGTGCTTGAGAACGGATTGCAAATTTGTTAATTCTTCACGTTTGTAATTAGTGAAGAATTTCGGTTCTCTTGTGCGGACCGACAGATTCGAATTTGTTAGCGCGCAGCGCGGCCGCGCAGCGGCCGCGTGCGCGACTTCAGCAGTATAAAATGAGCAATCTCCCGCTCATTCCTTCATTCTGCCAAGTTCTAGCACGCAAGTTCGCTACGATCGTGCACTCTTTTCCTTTCTTCTTTCCCTTTCTTTTCGTTTCGAAGAACAGTGAGCTACTCTATCAGAGCCTCTCAGCCTGCGTATGGCATGTCAGTTCGGCCAGATGGATCCTCTCATGGCTGAGGCCTACGCAAACGGCTTGTTCCCTGAAGGCGTCTTCGTCAACCCGCAACTAGTGCATGGACCTCGAGCTCCTCAGATGCATGGCTTCTTCCCTGGCGCTCAAGACGAAGGTCGTGCTCAAGATGAGATGCATGAAGACCAGGAAGGTGGTCAGGGTGACGAAGCAGCTTTCGATGCGCATGCAGCAAACCAACAGGCTCAAGCTGCTGCTGAAGAGGCTTTCGGCATGCAGCAACTCCAGCATCTCTTCCAGGGACTCTCTGATAACATCATCGCTCGTGTCAAGGGGGAGTTGACTCAGTCCGTCTCAGCCTCTGTGCAAGATGCAGTCTCATCCACATTGGCTGGCAAGAAGCGTCGAGCTGAAGCAATCAAGAACGACGGCATCAAGAAGCAGTTCGTTCCCCTCGAAGAAGCCTGCCTGCGCATGGAACATGTCAAGTCCTCCCTGAAGAACTTCACCGAAGGAGAAACTGAGGAGATCTCGCACGACGATGCCGTCAAGATGCAGGACCGGACTTCTTGGATGAAGGTATCTCCCTTTGCCAGAAGAGAATGACTCACCTTGAGATTGCTGAGACTGAAGGTTGGGGGGTTGCGAAGAAGATGGAGGAAAATGCGCTGTTTCTCAAGTTGCAGACGATGTCCAGAAGCAGCTCAAACGGACAAAGAAGGATTTCAAGGCCGAGGAGAAGGAGAAGGAGTCCAAGAAGAAGACCAAGCAGGGCTTCAAGCCGAAGTTCTTCCAGAAGACCAAGAGCTTCTATCCCCGCGGGGGATTCTCTGTTGGACGTGGTGGAGGCTTCTACCAGGCTCCTGGCGGCGGCAAGCCGTGCTATTCCTGTGGCCAGCCTGGTCATATCAGTGCCTTCTGTCCTGGGAAGGGTTTCGCAGCTGTGAATGCTGGTAGAGCACGCCCTGCTCTACAGTAGTCAGGACTTAGTGTTGGTCTCAGAGTTGCTAGCACTAGGTTGTTGGCTAGACAGACATTGGCATTGACGGAACATTGTACAATCCTGTATCCATTATTGAACACTTGCTTGTAACACACATATCTCAGCTGTCTATTTCGATATCTTCGTGCATGTCCTTGAATTGCTTGAGTTTCCCATTTTCTCTTTTGGAATTGACAAAGGTGCTACCTTTGGTTCTGCAGTCTTCTTGAGAGAGCTATGATCAAGGCTTCTGGGAGCTTCCCAGAGATTGCTGCCTTAAAAAGAGAGCTGATTGCTCTAAGAGATTTTTCTGGCAGGGATGCCATCCCAAACGCCATTGAGGAGCTTCCTCAATCATGGCTTCGTCAGCCTGCTGAGCCAGAGTTTCTGGTTTTTCCCTTGCGCTGCTTGGGTGTCCGCTCATTACAGGGAGCTTCCCTGTTTCTTCTTTGTTCGCGCAGCGAACTAATTTTGGGGGAATGATGCTTTCCCACTGGATCGAACTTCTCCATGGGAGCCTTTGTGCTTATCTGACCTCCCATTGTTTCCAGTTATCTAACATTTATGTTTCGTGCTACTACAGCTGATGCTGAGTCACTGCACCTGCTCTCTGATTTCACTGGCGCTGCCGAGTTCGAGGGTTCTCGTCGTCCCTCTGAGTCATCTTTTTCGAAGCCTACCACTCTGCCTTCGTCTTCATCTGCGCCTCCTGCTCCCCGCGAGCCCTGGCTTCGGAATCGCCTGCGTGATCAGCTCTCCTTCTGGCGCACCATCTGCACTTCAGCTTTTGTGCTCAGCATCATCTCCGTTGGCTATCAGCTGCCTTGGCTCGAGGGTCCTCCCCCTGGTCCGTCTTTCAAGGCAAACCACCCGTCTGCCTTCCAGTTTCCCGACTTCGTCTCTGATGCTGTCGCTTCCTTAGTTGTCACGGGTGCTGCTCAGGAGGTCTTCTTTAAGCCTTTCATCATCAGTCCTCTTGGTGTAGTACCAAAAGGTGTCGATAAACTTCGCCTCATTCTGGATCTTCGATGCGTCAACAGCTTTCTCAGAGTGGATAAATTCAAGTATGAATCTGAAACGGCGGGGCTAGTTTGCACGCCGTTGGACTGAAGACACTT